CACCCCTCCCCTCCCCACACCCCTCCAAAAGTCCAGTTCCCTCCCCCATCTTATCCTTATACCCCCCCATCCCCACCAGAATCACATACCGATACCGGTATCCCCCATTACCACCGCACTATTTTCCATTACTGATGCGCGGCGGCGCTTGTGCGATTCATGTTCATGTTCATGTTCATGTTCTTGGGGAGAGTGGAAGTGGGAGTGGGAGTGGTAGTTGGAATGTATGTGGGTGTGGGAGAGGGGTGACCAAGGGTCTGGTTCTGGGTGTGAGGTTTGTTGGTGTTGTTGGTGTTGTTGAGGAAGGGAAAGTGAAAAAGGATGAGGAAGAGGAAGAGGGGGAAAGTTGGTAGCGATGAAGCGAGGTCGGGGCTGGGGTTGAAGAGCTGAGATGTGAGGCGTAGGGTTGTAGGGTTGATGTGGATGGGGCTGAGGATCTTGATGAGAAGAATACTGGTATGAAGAGGGATCGTAGAGAGAATAATCAAAATAGTGTTCAGGAACAGGTGGAGGTGTAGGGACAGCGGGTGGTGGTGGATCCGGGTAAGAGGAAGAGTAGATAGATTCTTGAGATGCAGTTGGAAAGCGTTGTATACAAGAGGGATTACGAGTAGAATCCGTTAGAGATGTAGTTGTATATTGCTGTGAATAAGATGTACTCGTAGTAGGATACAATGACAAATCCTCGGCTACTTCGGAAAATGGCGTTTGATAAGATGATGATGGTAATGGTAATGGTGTCGAATTCCTTGTTTGCGCGTGAGGAAATGGTGCAATGGCAGTAGCCACACAATGCGTTTCCTGAAGCCTATCAAAGTGACTAGAAGGAATCACAATCGATGTATCGATATCGGTATCTCGTGCACTCGATGTTTGAGAATATTGTATGCTAGTTCTGGGTGGTGATCCACTACTCGTGCTTCAAAACATATCAATCGATTAGTTTCCAGAATTCTCTTGATCAAAATACAAAATACAACACTTGAAGGGGGAAAAGTGAATGAAAACAACTAACCTCTGTCTTGACGAGCCAATTTCTGCCCTGTTCGAGCTGAAATCTGGAGAGTTCTGTTCTTCCTCCATTTCTGTACTTGTACCTTTGATATCTGCAGACATACCCGGAATCTGACTCTGATCCTGATATTCTCGCTCGCTAGCTCCCATATCCAATCCGCTTCGCAGACGCATGGATGGATGTATGTATGTAAGTACTCGAGTATATATGCACCGAAGATCTTTACTCAACTAAATTCTAACACTTGTCTTGTAGAGAACTATAAGTACAAGCGACCATAAACGAGATAGAAGAATTTGATAGGTTGGTGAGGAAACAATCTTACTTATACTTATACTCCACCCCGAAAAGTCTCAATCACAAATCTACGCTGTGTACTTACTTTATTACGGCACCATTCTACACTACCTACAAACAGGGAAAAACCGGTGAAAAGAAATACATACCATGTTCATTACACAACATCGCCCTACCTACCTACCTACCGACAATGCAACGCCCATACCCTACCCTACCATACTTACTGATGAAGTGGAACGAACTGGAGCGAATTTGCATATACCGTACATGCTAGTCCTGGTCCTGGTGCTGCTGCCTTCATACTGTGTTCAGTCCAGCCGGGCAGGGACAGCTTTAGGCTCGCTCGATCGCTCGCATTGGGTCTTTTCTCAATGATTTGTTGTATCGAGGCATGATATGATAGTACAATGTGTCTTTTGACCGCTGCCCAGTTTCATCACATGCGACACTCATCTCATCTCATCATACATTTATTTTCATGTTCAACTTCATATTCATTTTCACAAAGGAATTCGCCATTTGCCACCAAGGCTGAGAAGCCAGAGTCGTTGTAGAATAACAGCCAGGTACGGAGTATCTAGGAAGAATTCCAAAGCGGGATCAAAGTGGCTGACCAAGCCATCCAAGTCAAATATTGCACACGGGCATCCATCAGCATCGCGAGGCTGACAGTGGCTTGGTGGAGATTGTGAATTGGTATGATGTTGGTTTGCTGTGTTAATCTTCCACTTTAGCCCCCATTCAGGACAGGGGGTGTGATGATAGGATTCTGCCGAGCCGAAGAATGAGGCGCATGTTCGGAATAGTGTGAAGGGTTTCCTCTTTTGTCAATTCGTATGATTGAGATATGAAATAGTAGAAGCACTGATGTCTAAAGATTTTCATGGATGTAAAGCTCGATGTTTGAGAATGAGAAGTAAGAAAAAAGGTGAATTTGGTGCTTTTTTGCACAGCCCGCCCCAAGACTGTCAGTCGAGAAAGCCCTATGCCTGAACGGTGCAAATATAAATGGGCCTCAAGCATGGCTTTCAATATGCAGATGACACTCACAATTATTGACGTCAAAACAAAATTGAACTTTGATGAAAGAATCGATGAGCAAAATCGTAGGTCGTTGCATTTTAGATCCCGTGTCATAAATTAGATGATTGTGAAGAAAGTGAACAATCCCGGAATGCTTTTGAAGAGTTTTGTGTCATTTTGAATTAGTCTAGCTTAATCGGAGAAATATAGCTTGCACCTCACAGCTTGTATATCCGAGCTTCTTTCCCTAGCTTTACTTTTCTGATTTCTTGTACTTCAAGAATCTCGCTAGATTCAATACCCCTTCATCGATCCTCAAACGTAGCTCCGGAGACTTTCTCCTGTCAATTGTTTTGGCCATTTTCTTACATTTAGGTAAACTTTCCTCTAAATGTTTAACAAATCCATTTCCCCAGAAAACTGCCTGATCAAATGAAAAACTCTTATCGGCATAAATGTCAAAGATTTCGTTAAGGGTCTCCACTGCATGCGCCGCAGGCGTTTCGGGGACACCGGCAAGAAGAGTGATGAGGAAGACGCCAATTTCTCGGTTAAGTTCGATGGGGGCAGGTTCGAGTGCAAGACTGCCCAAAACACCGATACATTTGACACCTAAAGATTGAAAAGCTGAATCGTCAAGATCTTCCGCGTCTTTCTTGGGAACCTTGGAATCGGTTGGAGTTTCGAAACCCTTTGAAGCATGGTAGAGGGCCATGAACTTTCTGTGCTCATCCCCTCGTATCTGAATACGGCCTTGAACACTCTTGCAAACAGCCCAGGCAATACTTGTGATGGAAGAAGCCAATTCAATGTTCGCCGTATTGGATGCAAGTACACGACACACCACTTCATCCCAGATACGTTGGGCAAGGCCAGCCCATACCTTCTGCAAACTACCAAGGTGACTTCCGGAAAAGTCAATTGATGCGACGGTCCATGCGATATTATTCAAAGCCGCTAAAGCAGGGATTTGTATATCATCATCCTCCATTTTCGAATCCTCAGTCGACTGTGCAAGTGTTATAACGATAGGACAGGCAACTTGAACAAGCTGATGAAGTGTATCCTGATCATTTGATGTCTCCTCTTCTTCAGGGTCATTTCCCAGAACCATATCCATATCGGCCTCGATATCTTCCTGTGTCATTTCTTCGTTTTCCCCGTCACTTAAGTCACCTTCCGACAAATCTGCATCACCATCAACCATCGCGGCTTCATCGAATTCCTCAGTATCTTCTCCAAATCCTTCAAACACGTCCTCCTTTCCTTTGCCGAGTTCAAGGGCTTCCTGAAGGCTAGTTGCAATTGATGCTGTAATTTCCAGAGCCATTTGCAAAACTCGATCGGGGCTAGGATGTGTTGTATGACCGTTTGTACCATTCGTCTGCTGTGCTTGTTGCATCGATTCAATCAAGGTAGGAAGAAGGATGGCATCTGAGGCACCATCCATGGGAGCATTGTCATCAGACCAGTGCATGGCTGTAAAAATATTCTGAAGTACTCCACAAGTAGCAACACCCTTATATCCACCAGAGTTCTTCAATTGCATAAGTAATTTGAACCAATCTTTTTGCTCGGTGATAAATTCGACCAAGGTTTTGTTGTCTTCCGTTAGAGCTGCTAAACATATGAGTGCTTCATGGTTAACCTCCGATGGGGTGGTATCGAGTGACAATAATCCAAACAGAAAGTTGATAATTGTAGATGTTTTAGATATAGCTTCGACAATTTCGAGATCTGCATCAGATAGAGAGGTCAAAAGTGTTATTACAGAACTTGTAAGATTCCATAGAAGATCTTGTTGAGGCTTTGGGATATTTGATAATGGGGAGTCTTTGGAATCGATCGTTTGGATGATCTACTTTTATTAGTACGTTCATTGAACTACTATGTTAAATATGAATGAAGTCTTACTGATTTAATAGCCCCCTCAATTGCAGTCAATATATCCTGTCTGTATAAATGCACGCAGAAGTCCGTTTCCTCTTCCAATGCTAAATTTCGCATGATTCCCCATCCTGCGATTCTAGTTTCCATGCTCGAGTCTGTAAGCGTTTGTTCGAATAAGATGCGAACAATTTGCTCCCGCAAGAAAAGTTTTCGACATTTTGTATCGTCAATGAGGTTCGCAATAGCAGTCGCAGCGATTGATCTCTTCGATTGATCTGAACTTTGTAAATCTTGAAGGACTGGCAGAATTTTATTTACTCGAATAGCTGCAAGCTCTGGATCGGTAGGTGGTTTAATAGATTTTGCAGTAGGATCAGCGCGACGCTTTGTCCTATTTCTGGAAGCTTTCCCCATATTGAGTTTGTATTTTGGATATGGATATGAATAAGGGTTGAATTGTGTGATTTTGGTTGAAGAATAAAAAGTTTGTGTTGTAATTCCAAGACCCTTTCAGTTCTAACATTTCGTAATGATTGGAACTTTTTTTCTGCCCCTCTATGATAGAGACATGCCTGAGGTATATCAAGTGGAAATAGACTAATTTTCCCCGCCAATGCCAATTTAACCTTTTTTAACTAAATTAGCTAAATTAGCTAAATTGGCTTAAGCTAATTCAATTATTGGCAATTTGGCACCCGCGATTTAATTTGAGGCATTTTGTCCCTTGTTCTATCCTGTCGTCTTGAGCCATTTTTACTCAATTCGACCCCTTGGACTTTTGAACACTCATAAGAAAACCATCCGTCCTCCATTTCACCATGTCTACTACCACTACAATCACACGAACTGAGCCGATTACTGCTGAGAGTATTCTTCGACTTTTCCCAGATATCGATACCAGCTCTGCGGAACTAGATGGGCACGATGAAGAACAAATCAGATTGATGGATGAAGTCTGCATTGTTCTAGACGAGAATGATAAGCCTATTGGAAACTTTAGCAAAAAAATATGTAAGAGATTTGATTATTTGTTGCGCCTTTACATATACTAATTACTTCAGGTCATCTCATGACGAATATCGACAAAGGTCTCCTTCACCGTGCATTCTCCGTCTTCCTTTTCAACTCCAAGAATGAACTACTCATCCAACAACGTGCAACGGAAAAGATTACATTCCCTGATATGTGGACCAACACCTGCTGCTCCCATCCTCTTGGCATACCAGGTGAAGGTGGTTCTGAATTAGCTGAAGCTATCATGGGTGTTAAGAGAGCAGCTCAAAGAAAGCTTGATCACGAACTCGGTATCAAGACTGCGCAAGTACCTATTGAGAACTTTAAGTTTCTGACGAGAATCCACTACAAGGCACCCAGTGACGGAAAATGGGGGGAGCACGAAAGTATGGCAACCTATTTTCCCAGATGACTTTGGTGAGAAAGCTACTAACATTCATCGATCTTCTTAGTTGATTATATCCTCTTTATTACCGCCAACGTTGACATCGAGCCAAACATGAACGAAGTCCGCGATACTCGTTATGTTACCGCCGATGGACTCAAGACCATGTTCAACGACCCTTCTTTGAAATTCACCCCTTGGTTTAAGCTTATTTGCAATTCTCTCCTATTTGAATGGTGGCAACACAAAGATACCGATCTCGAAACATATATGAATGAGCAAGAAATTAGAAGAATGTGAGGACGGTTTTCCGGGGGCAAAGTGGCATTGAAGAAGAAGCATGGAGAAGTTATTGGGAATCTGAGAGTCTCACCATGGATATTGCATATCGCATGCTGCATATTGGCATTGAGGTTTGCTGCGATATCAAAAATTTATACCCAACGGAAATGCGAATCACTTGATTACGCCTAATCAATATCATCCAGTACCATCAAGCGGACGAATTTCGAAGATCTTTTCAATTGGATATGTCTGTTACTCAACAATATGCACGCAACCATGCACTCTGGCATGCTCTCTGGCATGCCGTCCCATTTTCTCTTCTATCTTTACATCAATCTTCGATTAGATTACTTTCTTGATGATTACTATATATTTCATATCCCTTTATCTTATCTCGCTCCAGTGGAGTGGAGAATAGATAACATCAAAGTCGGTGGTGGACGGGACTTTTCGTCTTTTCAAGGGTCTACTCCAATACCTAACTTCATTGGGTAGGTCCAGCCACCAACGCCTCGGACCAGATGATTGCACATAGTGTCCCCTGTCAAACTTGACAAGTAAAGTTTCCAGGTACCGTATTGGTTCTTTATGGTTGACATCAATCCAAAAAGTTCGAATTAAACCAATCAGCTTATGGAATTCCAAAGAAATATGCGGCAGCTTACACTTGCACCAAGGGACCTCACCGGGCCTGACCTCGTTGGTCGCCATAAGTCTGCGGGCTTACCTCGTGTGCTAGCATACAAGTGGGGTTATGCAGCCGTGTATCATGGCATGGCTATCGTAGATTCGCAGTATCGTTGAGCTTTAAGTCTCCGAATAACTACATAAACCTTCATCCAATCGCCTTTTCTCCGAATCCCCCTACTTTCGATTTGGTTGAACTTTTGCAGATGATCAAAATTACAAGGTTTTCTATAGCATAAATCGCCGAAATCCCGGTAAACACAGTCATAAACTCAATTTCCCCCAATTCACCTCGCATTAACCAATTCCACTTGATCTAGCAAAGACAACTTTTGCCCAGCTCAAGACGCCATATCAACACAATTAACAGTCAACAGTCAACAACTAACGCCATATCAACACAATCAACCGTCAACAGTCAACAACTAATTACTGCAGACGAAGCGTGGTTCTTGAAGAATCATACTATATTCCCTTTGAGTAATACCCCGTGTTTGATAAACATTTACATTGATGTCGGTTGATTTCCGCCAAAGTCTCAACTGTCTACGTTTCCCATCTCGATACATAACGGTATCGAGAACTCAACTATCGATAGTCCATACAGGCGATTTAAATAGGCCAGCTAAACAACCAGATTCTTGTTCGTTATGAATTTCCCATGCACTCCCAGAAAGTGGCACTGACATACTTGCAGAATTGCCTTGATTATCTCCAGTGATTTTTCAATAAATCGCAATCATGGCGCATGTTAATAAGGATAAAGATACGACCGTCAATATTCTTGAGAAGAAGCGAAGCCTTTCTCCAGCTACAACAGAGGAGGTACGTGTTGTCGGTATCTCTGAATATGAGGGAGCGGCCCAGTGTCTCGCTGAAGCATTCGCTACGGACGAAGTAGCCAGATACTTTGTTGATACCGATGACATGAGTTCCTACTCTGAGGACCACAAGTGGAAACTGCATTGCGACATCATCAAGTACATGACCGCTGCCCATTGCTACAAAGGTCTAGTGACGACCATTGGTCCAAACTACGACGCAGTCGCTCTATGGTACGTCTAGTCAACCTCCCAATTCTTCCGGGAACAACCCAATAACAAACCCCACAGGATGCCCCCCGGCCAAGACATGGACGACTGGCTCACCTTTTTCCGCAGCGGCCTCTGGAAACTCTACTTCCGCCTCTCCCCCGAAGGCCGCACGCGCTTCTACGACGAATTTATGCCCCTACTACACTCCACCATCGACGACGTCATGGGCGATCGCCGCCACAATTTCTACTACCTCGTCTATCTAGGCAGCAAACCCAGCGCCCGAGGAAAAGGCTACGCGAAGAAATTAATTCAACACATGACGGCGCGAGCGGATCGTGAAAATCGTCCCACGTATTTAGAGTCGAGTGCGGAGGTCAATTTGGAGTATTATCGTAAGTTGGGCTTTGAGTGGAAGATGGATGTTAGGATGGAGAGGGCGAGGGCGCCGGTGAAGATGCAGATTATGGTGAGGGAGCCGAGGTTTGGGGGGAAGAGCTCGAAGGGGATGGAGATGGGGATGGGGAAGGGGGAGGGGAAGGAGAATGGAGAGGTTAGGATGATTGGTTGATTGCATGATGGGAATGAGGTTGATATTTAGGTTTTTGGATATGGGGTTTTGTTACAAAATTGATGATTTTTCATTTTTTGATGAGTTTCTTTGCTTCTGTTGGACGTGACTCAAGGAAGCTTTTAGTATCGGCGATTTTACGTTCCTCAAAATCATCCAGGGAGGCTTAAACCTGGGATTTTATCATTTTAAATACTTGATGCAACGATTTCACATTTGGTCTTTTGAATTTTTGATTCCAGCAATCTCATCTGGTATATTTCCCCATAAGCGCGCATACTTCATTCATATGCAGCCATTACTTTTGTGTACATGCATGCCATAAAGCCATAATCCCATCCTGCAACGCCTTTTAAGCTTTGATTTCACTATTCTCCCTATCCTCTAAAACTCCATTATAGACCACGTCTCATCATCAATGGTCGTATAAATACAACCCTCCGACAATAATTCATCGCCACTCTTATACACGTCCGCAACAGGCATCCCCAGCTTCGTCGCAATCATATTGACATTCAAGCCTTCGTTATTCTGAGGCTCCGATTGCATCAAATTGAACACCGCTCTCGCGTTTGCGGTCGTCTTCGCAGGTAGTGTTCTACTGGTAGCTGTCGCGTTCCCTGTAGCTGCATTATTACCTCCGTACGAATCGACAAAGAGTCCATCGCCCCCTTCTTGCTTCGCGATACCCGCGGTCTCCATAGGCCCGCGTGTGAAGTATAAATGTACAAGTGTCGCTTCCAGTCCATGATATGTCACTTCGTTCATATCGGTAATGGGTCGGATGATGTGAGCGCCAACATGTCGTTTGTCGTGGAATGACTTGAGTCGGCCCCATACGTGTACATATTGTCCTTCTTGCGGAACATGTTTGGCGTTTTCGGCTGTGGCGTCATTATCGATCCATTGCTTTACTTCGATGAGACCGGTGCCGTCGTCGATTTTGTACGTGTTGTTTGTGGTTTGCGTGGAGATGCCGTGGACTTGGCCGACGAATGAGAGCTGGAAGGGTGAGTGAGTATTTGCCCCTTTGTAGAACTTGAGGATATAGGATGAGGTGGGAAGTAGTATACTTACTTGAGTTACTTCCGATCCATCAATTTTGAAATCGGCATCAGGATGTGGCAGCACGGCATCAACGATTTGCTTGATGGTTACTGGTCGTAAAGTATCTTTGCCATATGTCTAGATTCTCCATTAGTACCGTCAAACATTAACATGCTCGTAAGTGGCAAATCATACTTTTGATCCTCCAGGACTATCTTGACTCCCTCCCTGCGATCCAGCATATCCTCCTCCCCCTTGAACGAATCCACCGCCATCTGCCCCGCCTTGTGCGCTGTAAGTGGTGGTGGTGGGATAATTATTATTTTGGTATCCGTAGTTGTTTGCTAAGGACGAGTAAGTGTCCGCTTGGAGGAGCTGCGCATAGAGACTTACACATGATGGATATTGTTGGGGTGTGAAGTTTTGATGTTGGGTTTGATGTGTTTGATGATGGATGCCGAGATGAGATGGAAGACGCGTTGACCGCGACTGAAAAAAAGTCGCGTAAAGCGGAATTGGAGGGTCAGTCATGTGATAACCGTGGCTACTTCGTAGTTGGGTCCGAGATTCTTCCGACTACCTCCTACAAATCAAACGAGACGACAAGACATTCATATGGGCGAAGTATGAAGTATGCGTGCACTGAGCCATTGTAAATCCGGGCAATTACTATTATTTTCTAGATCAAACTTACTATCTTAGGTGTATCGGACAGTCCTGATCATAAATGAGGCTTCAAGTTGGTGTATTGCCAAAATCATAGTGGCTGTTTTTGATATTCTGATTTCTGACAAGGTTGATACTTTGAGACTCACCGAGAGTACTATCAATTCCTCCTACTGCAGTTGAGATTGCTAAATTTATAAGTCGAGAGGAGCTACGCATGTAAGCAAACTTACCCCTAAGTAGGAGATGCAAAACGTGAAGATACCGCAGCAGTTCAATCTTGACTGATATGAGGTTATATCATCATTTTCATCTGATCCTATCACCTCCACATTCACTTATAACAACATTCTTTCTACTTACTATCTAGAGTGACAAAGTCTTATCAAACTCAATCTTCACTACTTCAACCAATAACCTTTGACCTCCAAAGTTTTGTTGCACGTCTTAAAAGCTTGGAAACTTCCCCAGACAAAGCTTCTTTCTATCCACCTTAAATATTTAAACTTTTTCAATCGACTGGGAATAAGAGAGCTCTCCAGATTTATTCCCGGTAGATGTTTTTGAAAAGTTAGAAGAGTTCGGACTTTTTTTCGTTTATATTTGTAAACCAATCCAGATGAGGCCTTCCACTTCATCTGTGCTGGCATCGAGTGAGCTTTTGCCGTTTGAGAAACTTGTATGTGTATAGCTTAATTACATTGGATGATTGCATCTTGTCCACACGTGTGGAGAGACATTTTACATCCACCATGTATTACCATCCAGCTGCATCTGCAGTATTCGTGGGCATTGGAGGTAGTTGAGGTCACCGCTCAATCACTTCCCTTGTACATCCATACACATTATATGGATAGTTTTCCGATTTATGTTGAACGTCTGCTTTCACTGATACGGTTGCTAGCACCTAGACCAATTACTGAGGGTTCAAAAACAGACGCAGAGATTTGATATCGGCTCATTAATATTTCCCTGGTCAATGGAGATAGAACAGCTTACTGACGTGGAACTTAAATGCAGGGCCTACCTATCTCATTGAGATGTATACTAATATAACTACATATAGCCACTCTCGTTCGCAATTTCAAACCACTGCAAGCTCGCGTCTGCAAATTGAGTCCGCCAACTCGAGAGCAGGTTTAAAACATTTCGATTCTCGCTTGTTTTGAAGGGCCTCTCCAATTCCGTTTCCCGGTATTCATAAATGACCGCGAGGTTATTCGAACGATTAAAAGGTGGTGGCTCGGACGGTGAGCTTTGAATAATTATCAAGAAATAAGGGCTTCTGATTGTAATCGTATACGTCTGCTCAGGAATGAACGATCTCGTCAGCGTAGACGCAGGAGATCCCTGTCCGGACCGCTGAGAAATAGAAAAGCTCTCCAATACGGAATGGATGCCTTTCCCGCTTTACAGCAGTCGATGGAGATCTCTTGGGGACAAATCTGCAGCGATCGAGGTATAATACACTATGGTGCGTATACTGCAGGCCATTTTGAAGATATGCTCGACTCAAGCTGAAGTATCGGAGCGGTTAGGGATAAAGAGGTAGACGTCGACACTCGTGCTTTCGAATGTTGATAGTTCGCCGCGGGCAATAACAGCAAGCCGAATATAATGATTGCGATATAAAACACCTGACAATATTGTTACTTTGTCTACGAGTAAAGGCGATTGCAATGATGAAATTATGGTCACGTTTTTGTATTCGATCAACATAGCCTAAAAGCGCTGCGCAATACTGACTCACCGGCCTCCCCCTGTTGAGCACAAAGGACCGAGCCAATCAAGCTTCACATCCTACCTGCTCATTATGAGTCGAAAACTTGCTGTAATGAAGTCTAGCATAAAGCAACCTCGATAACCTCCTGGCTCATTATATTTTATTCAACCATTCCATCTTGACATCTAATTTTCAACAATCAAAAAAATGAACACCATAACCGCTACCCGACACAAAATCCTCACGCCAGCCACCACTCCCGCCAACAATACGCTCCCCAACCCTTTCGTCGTCTGTATAATAGGGGCCAGCTCCGGCATAGGCGAGCACATCGCTTACTCCTATGCACAAGCTGGAGCCTCGGGCATCATTCTCGCATCGCGCCGCACCTCCGAACTCACCCGGGTCCGCGAAAAAGCCCGTTCCCTCTCCCTCTCTCCGAAAACCCGTGTCGAGATATTCCCTTGTGATATCTCATTATCCAGCAATATTTCCAATCTGGCAATATACATCCGAGAAACGTTTGGACGCCTCGATATCTGTATCCCCAATTCCGGATATGCGGGACCCGTGACCCTGCGTGTTACTGATGGAGATCCAGCTTGGTTCCAGGCGAATTTTGATGTTAATATGATGGGGACGTATAATTGCGCGCATTATTTAATACCGCTGCTGTTGGAGAGTGAGAATAGTGCGAAGGGATTTATACAGATTGGATCGTTGGCAGCGAATTTGACGAATGGTCCGATTGCTAATACGGGGTATTGTGTGAGTAAATTTGCGCAGAGTAGGTTTGTGGAGATATTGGGGTCGCAGTTTGGAGGGGAAGGCTTGGTTGCTGTAACTGTGCATCCGGGGGCTGTTGCAACGCCGATGGCTGTGGGGAATACACCGGATGTTTTCTTGCCTTGTAAGTTTTTCTTGTTTTTGAGATTGCTCTTTAAGGGTCAGGAAGTGCTAATGAAGGTCATAGATTTGGTTGATAGTGTGGATCTTTGTGGTGGTTTCTGCGTTTGGCTTAGTAAGAATATCAACGATTTAAAGTGGTTGAATGGGAGGTTTCTGGATGCTAGGTGGGATGTTGATGAGCTGCTTGGAAGGAAGGAAGATGTTGTCGAGAAGGATCTGCTTAAGTGGGATTTGAGAACTTCGTGAATAAGGAAGTTCCCTTCCAGCAGCGAAGAACTACTACTATCTTATCCAATAATTACTCCATGATAGATTCAGATAAGCTTTTGACCCTGTGTGTGATAGAAATGTGTGTATGTTTTGTCTTCCATCATCATAATCAAGAAGAATGTATTCAAACAGGCTCGAAGCTTTGAGTCAGTATCACAGAATAAGATGGAAAGGCTTACCATATGCTTCCCAAACACTATACTGCTGAGAAAGGGCAGGAGAGAATGTCGAAAGGATGTTTCAAAATGGTGGAAAAAGTATTGAGCACCTAGTACAATAAGAGTTATAGAAGCCTTTGTATAGGTACTGAACGTCATTTTCATTGTTGCGCTATTTCTGTAAAGAATCGATTGTGCAATTTAGTCGATGTAATGTAGTTTCTTTTACCATCTACCTAGTAATCATTATTTTCATTTTCTCTAGCTGATCCACTTCCGTTAAACTACCAACTTCTAATGTGGTAAGAATAATCTTCGTCACGGAGAGAGACTAGTGAAGACTGTGTTCAATGCGGAGCATAGAGCAGGAAACACAGAAAGCGACGCCAGGAAAATGGGTGAGATATGGCAAAAGACGAAAGAGCTGTTGTCTATCCAAGACAAAATGTTGAGCTATTGGCAGAGAAGGAAGGAGATGGTCGATGATATGAGTAGAGTTTTCATGGGGAGCAGGAGTCACGAGGAAACTAGTGCTAAGTTTGCTGCGGATGTCGAGAACTTAGAGACTGTGGAAACGGTGAGAGCGCTTGAGTTTCAAGAAGAGATTTATTAGGCGACTAAAATGTGCAAAGGTTTACATAATAGTTTTCACACTCTTTGACAGGATGCCTACTCTAGAAATGTTACGTCAATATTGAACTTATTCTTGTAGTCAACCAATCTGGACAGAACCTCATCTGCGAGACTCATCACAAGACTTTGTATTTCATCTCCAATAGAGCAACTTGAAGAAATTGTTAAATTCGACGTCATTGTGGCATAATGCTCTTTCCTTTTGCGATTAGCCTCACTCACTCCTCTTGCGGTACTATTGATATGCATTGAGGCTCATGGCGCCTTCCACTTTGCACTTATCACTCTCTACCCATCATGGACCAAAACGCAGACATACACTCCCCAGCAAAAGGCTCTGCCGCTGTTCAAGCAACAATACCGAGGGATAACATCATATCCGCTTTAAAGTACGTCCTACGTCTGAAGCAGAAAAAATATGCCAGACTCGGAGTCGAAGAACAACTCGCGGCAGAAAGGCCAGGGCCAACCATGGACTTATATAGAAAGAAGATCGTGGAGAGCATGAGCGAAATGATTGGGACATCGGATATTGACCGGGATTTGGAGGGTCTGATGACACTGAACACGACTTTCGAAAACTCGATTGTGAAAAGACTCAGGGATAAGTTACAGATGGAGATTGAGAAGGATGTAGTAGAATTAGAGAAGATGGTGGTAAAGGCAATAGAGGCGGAGGAAATACCGATTAGTGCAGAAGAAGTATTGGAAATGGAGATGACCGCCGCGCAGATATTTGAGAAATGGGAATCGATGGAGCTGGATGTGGAGCTGCGCAAGAAGCAGGATGCGTTGAAAGCAAAGAATCAGATGGAGAATGAAAGGAAGAAATAGATGGTGGGAAGTGGTGACAGATGTGTGGGATACATTGCTATGAAGTAAAAATCGATAAATGGAGATGGAAACCGTACAGCAGCACTTGATTGATCTGTCGATTGGTGTATTATTATGAGGAGGTCGACCTTTTGAGGAGATTCGATTAGGGCTGGCAATTCATCACATTCGAATGAAGTTTAGTATCAATAGAATATTTGAACACCAGAGAACCGTTTCCATAGTATCTGATGTAGCTTAGGCCACACAGTTATTAGCAATAGAGATTCTAGTCAATCCGTGACCCGTCAAACTTTTTGCAACCAAAGACTTGAATATTACCAGCTAGTCGGTTGTTAAGCCGTCAAATCATCGGAACCCAAGTTATAGAAAGAACCCCCCTGAAAGCAGTAAAAAACTAATTTATACGCAATAATTCTTGTGCTTTGTTACTTCTGATACAAATGCTAAAATACTCTGTTATTTAATTTCTAGTTCTATCCTTTTTTCATCTCCATTTCTATCCTTCGTTGTCCTATACATTTTGAAGGTGAAAAAGCAAAATAATATCAAAAAATGGTCAACAACGTATCCAAACGACAGATTGTAGGACTTGTGACGCGTGGTATGATCGTGTACGCAATTGTGATCGACATTCGCTGGTTCGATGTGTTGGAATATATACTGTACAGTGATTGTGCGGATAACAAACTTTTGGTTCCAACACGCTGGTTCGCAAATTCGCTAATTCGCTTATTCCCAGCAGATTCGCACTGACATTTTCTCCCCCTATTTGCTCCTTTCATCTTCTTAATTTGTCCGTAATATTTTCGCAAGACAGTGTAGCTGTCCATCTAATTAGATCTCTGAACATTGTAAATATTTCATAAGGCTTATCAAATCGCACCCCAGATCCAATATTCACCACAGCTACCTATGTAATAAGTTAGCCAATCAATACACACAAACACCCTAAGAACTATCTGCTGAGTCCTCGGTGCATCAATTAGAACAACTTACAAGCAATTGCATCACACCCTCCATTCTTCACGGTCGCCACGCCACAACCAGGACAAGCCTTCGACTGTGATTTTATCCACGCCTCTGACTCTCCATCCTCCTTCGACTTCAAACCTCCAGCTTCCTCACATGTTTTACCATCGTGCCAAGGTAATTGATGGGTATAGCATGTAGCAAAATTGCATTTTTGGCAGATCATCTTTGGGGATTCGTCGCCTGGAGCATGGACTTGTCCGGAGCGACAGCTGGGGGAGAGACACCAGCGGAATCCGGGTAGATCGCGGATCGCGAAGGTTCTCATGTACTCCTTGTAACTTTTGAATTGTCAGCCTTTGACTCAATACAACAAGATATGAGAAAGACGTGGGAGCGATGCAGATCAAAAGGTTAACTCACTTGGAAAGCAACTTCCCACACAAATATATCTCCATATCATGCGCCTCAAATTTTTCCGGACAACCGGGGCAAGTGATTTGATGCCAATACGTCGTCTCACACTTCGACACTACATAGGCCTTCACGCAATCCGTACAAAATGTGTGACGGGCATTATTTAAGCATTCGGTTGTCAGTTTCTTCCTTCGAAACAGTTTCGCAGGTAACTCCTCATAACAGAGCCCGCAAGTTTGATCTTTCCCACCAAATACTTCGTGTCCTTCCTTGTCGAGTATTGAGTATCCTCGGGCAAGTTCTGCGCGTGTGAGAGGCATTTTATTGGCGAGTAGTTGCGCGATGGTGATGTGGTCTTTCAGGGATACTTTGGATTCGAGATCGATGAGTTTGGGGAGGAGGGTCTTGAGGGTTGATGTTCTACGAATGATGCCTTGACTTTGGAAGACATAGAGGATTCGTTTGGTGGATGCTAGGGTGAAAGTCTCGATTGGTTGATCGAAGAGTTTTCTTGGACTGTGATAGAGAAGACTGTCGCCGGATGTAGCTGATGATTGATCGGAGATAATGCTGTCGCTTGAGGTACTTGTTGATTGATCCATGATGGTGATTGATTGTATCTTGTTACCAATAATTTGAGGATTGTAAGTCTCAATGTCGATTTCGTTGGGTTGAATTGTTTTGGATCGCTGTTAGGGTTTTGGGGTCGGGGTATTGTATTATTCTTCCTTTGTGTACAGTTCGCAGGAGGAAAGTGGAAAGGACGAGATTAATCTTTATCGGATATGTTAGTTTGAGAGAGTGTGAAAACAATTTATTCACCAATAAGGTATGATTATAAACTAAGACCTTCTTAGTGCTTGAATCTAGACCTTAGTGCTTGAATCTAGAGCAACTAGTAATGAAAACTTTTAAACCCCTATATCTACATCATCAATGGCCACTCAATGCAATTTGACTTTTCTAACTTGTATTACTATGCTACTAACTAGCTTCAAAAATGCAATTCCCAAAACGTACTAGCTTTTTTCGAATCCTATCAAACTGAAATATCAAGTAAATATACCGTATACTTTTGGTGAAATCGGTAACGCTAAGCAGGAATTGGGATGTAAGGTTATTTTGACAAGCCTAACTTTTGGATTTTTATTAGCAGGAAACCTTTAGCTGATCTACAACTATACTATTTTAGGCTTCAGCTTGCAGGATTTCATCCACTTTTAATTAGCTTCACCACTACTACCATTGCCACTACTGCTAGCATTTTCATTACTACTACCACTACCATTACTACCACAAATAGATCAAAAGGTTATTTCAAGTTTGAAGAGATCTAGTTCCAACTTCCAAGTCATATAACCGTGCACTGACCTTACTAATCAATTACTAATCAACTAATATGTGAACTTTGTTTGATGATAAGATATACTCTTCTTCTCTATTCTTTCTCCTTTTATCTTTCTCCTCCTTCCCCTTCCCTCGTTCCCTTCCTTCCTATTCTCTTTCCTTATCTACCTATTTCCTCTTCTCTCCTCCTTATCCTTCCCTTTTCCCCCTTCCTATCTTTCCCCCTCCCTTCTCCTTCCCTTCCTTTTTCACTTTTTCCTTTCGTAATTATTTCCTTTTCAATAACTAATCAATTTCAACAAAGTATCTCCAAAATACCTTCAAAAATGTTTCAAATCTAGTCCAAAAACAACAAAACTGGTAGATGGATATTTCAATCAAAAAGCGGAAATGATCATTGAAAGAATTGTGTTCATTCCATCCTCACAACACCCACTTCGCCTCTCCAGTGTCCTAGATGCGCCACAACGTCAATCGGTATCCTAGACTCCATAGCTTGATCATATGATTCTTTCCTTCCTCTTCTACATTTCTTGATCTCGTGCACCACATCCCAAATTTGTGCTTCCTTGCCTGTCATGCTCTCATCTCCAGCGTAGCCTGTTCCCATCTCATCCCAAATCAAGCCTTCACTAGGTCTGTCACGTCTGGCACTGATATGCCCTTTACTGATTAAAAGTTCCTCCATCATTCTTACCAAAGAATGAAAAATCATTCTCACTCGCCGTCATAAATCTTTCACTATCTTCATCTTCCGTCGATGATTTGGTAACTAGGTCGCTTTTGAGCTTTCGACTTGGGCTTATTCCGGTTGGTGGTAAATCTTCTGGTTCGTTATGTGCACTTATTTCGAAGATTATCTTTTGGATTTTGAGCAGATCCTTCGAAGTTGCTGAATTCTTATCGAGAGGTTTGAGAGATGCTTCTAGTCTCGCTAATTCTTCATCCTCGGCACATTCTTGAAGAAATAAGAGTATTGTATATATTGTTTGCCGATTTCTAGTTTTGGTGGGAACATTGGTCAAAATAAGTTTCTTCAAGTTCGGTAACGTAGATGGCTTTAATCGATATGGGTTTCTTTCTCGTGACTCTAGACGGTGCCGAAGTTGAGTAACTTCGGAGATAATCTCTCGGGTATTCGATTGCGGTTGGAATGTATGTGCGGAAATCGGGCTCGGTACATGATTCTTGTAGTGGGACGTTTCGGATCCCGAAGGAAATGGACTAGGAATTGCAGAAACCCGGTGAAGAGGGTATTTTTTCGGTTTCAAAGTCATATGAGAGATAACATACTGGGCTGATAGAGCTGTTAGACCTTATAGGCTCTTGAATTTGAGGTATCGTATCAGGACCACAGCTAGCTTGTTTCCTTGATTCTATCATCGTAGTTGCATTTTTACTGATCTTGTTCGAGGAGGGGTTAGTTAAGAGATCTGATCCTACATCATCAGGACTCTCCCAAAACGCAATGGTATTTGTCCCAGGCTGGTCGATGCTTGTACTGTCCAATTCGTGGTATGTATCTGATGAGTCAATGTGCGTAGAGTCCAGTTCGAATATCAATTTCTCGCCTTGAAGTTCGAGACATGGTTCTTCGAATGAGTTGGCAGGGTTGGTAACAAGCTCCCGAGTTACAATACTGTGATGTATCCTCAATGTCTTAATATTCTTGAATGCTTGGGATAGTAGATTTGAACCGATACGCCCTATGGAATTAGATGATAATTTTCGGGAAGCGGGGGAAGTCGAGAGGTCTGTACGCGTGCTACAATTCAAAGAACCACAATCTAGGAACTGGAGATATACATGTTGGAGGATGTTGATGACGCTATCAATGGTAAGATCGTTGTCGCTAATATAAAGGTATGACAGGCCAAATGTCGATGTACTCTCATCAAACCATTGGCCCTCAATCTTGCCTGCTAATCCGGTCGACATGAAGCTCTCCATATTCGCGATCTCCTTGCTAGTGGACTCTTTCGTAGACCATTGACCCCCACTTAATGAAGACTTGCTGCTGGGGACTTCTTGGCCGTGCCTCTCATACAAAGGCCCAGCCGGTATCAAACGATGAACAATGTTGTAAATACCATTTTCGGAAAGATGGTTGTGGCTCAAATCGAGACTACGAATCTTGATGGATGAACTCGATGCAAAGCAAAGATGCTCCGAATCAGCATCCCTCAATCCGCAGTTCTGTAATTTGAGGACCTGAAGATTCTCGAGCGATACAATTCTTTTAAGTACTAAAGGATTTCTCGCACCTTGCGACGAGGAGAGGTCCAAGTAGACTAGGGTGGGAAAATGGAAGAGTGCTGACGCCAAACTTAGTGCGGTAGTATTCTCACAATTCGCAGCAACCAAGAGTCGCAGTCCATAAAATTCTTGCGTGCTGTGATCGACCTTAGCTAGAGATTGATGGTCAAAAAACGAGAGCCTCGACACGATCAGAGCCTGAAGCGAAGGTAGACAATCCAGGAGATTTCGTAGCCATCCTTCTTGAGGTCCACCATAAAACTCTGTCTCCACTGGCGGTATGTGTAAGGTGCGGGTTAAGGTTCGAACCTCAAGACGAGTCCTCTTGAGTAAACGTTTGAACATGGCAACTATATAATATCACGTGAGTAGAATGGTCACATGAATGAACGAACACAAGTTTGATTAAATCCCTGCATCAATGCATCAATAAGACGATGATGATTCACGACTCACGATATATAGCATCGCTATCTGTTCCAAAATGCGAAGCTGGATTACCCCAAAGATATGGTGAAAACACTTGCCACCAGATCTGGCATACTAAACATGTCGAATATAAGCCATCGGGTGAGACGTATGGCGCGACGATTGTCAAAACCTCTCTGTTTGTAGCCATCGATGCCACTTTCAATTGACAAACACTATGGCCTGTTACGTTGCTTCTCGTTACCATCCACAGTGACGCTTGAGCGGAAACATTGAAAGATTGTAGTTTCTTAGGTCGAATCTTCTTTCAATGAACGTTCCTTGCTTATTGACGCGCTGCTTATGTAACTGCATCGACTGAAATCCATCACGAGCACTATTGAACAGGATATAGAAATTGATTTACGAGTTGTATTATCCACATTTCCGAACTCTCTCGAGGTGAGATTTTATTTGGACATACTGGCGGGCAATTTGACATCGCAATGTGGTTCTCTGAGATGTATGATTCGCTTACGAGGATTAACTGTCTTGGCATTGAGGTTGTTGTTGCCTTGACCTGTCTAGCTAGCGTTCAGCCATTCATTGATTTATCGCCATCTCTTTTGGGGAAAAGGGGTCGGATCATTTTCCGAAATCTACTGCTATATGTATGAGTACAAGTACTTGACATGGAGAACGAAAACCCCCTTCTAACAGGAGTAGCATAGTCCCCAATTCGAAATCCATCATTACTTTACTCATCTCAAGAGTAAAATGTTCCACTAAGCATATTCTGTTATTCAAATATCTGGCATCACATCAACTGAGATCAATACTCATCAAAATGAACAAAGTTTCAGCCGAAGTCATTCGCTTGATCATCGCAAAGGTCGAGGATTTCCGTGATCTAAAAGCTCTCCGATTTGTCTCGAAATCTGTCTCAGTACCAGCCACCGAAGAGCTCTTCTCGTACTGCAGTCTGTATCTTCAGGGTCTTCATGCACAAGAGGGTGACGATGGACGAGAAGACGTCGAGGAGGACAATGGTGAAGAACAAGAAGGTGAAGTAATCGGCGAGATGGCCTCTACAATAAAGGTACCCGATATCATTATATCATCGTTTCTAATCGAATTCAACACCGAAATCGGCCTAAATCGTCATTGCATTTACTGTTTTATAATATATATTTCTGTTTTTGACTTTCTAATAGTCTCGATCAAAAACAGACATGGAGGCACGAACCAACCTGGAAAAAGTCCTAAGCGTATCGCATCTCAAACAAGCCATCTACACCATCCGTTACATAACAAATCTCGATCCTAATTTATCAATGGATGAATATAACGAGGATTCGCAGCCCTTTAGCGCATTCACCACCCCGATGAGAAACCTCGTTGAAAAGTGCAACAGATTCCCCAACCTCACCACGGTTTAAATCGAATTCGCCCAGCTCTGTTCCTATTGGAAGGAAGAAGATGGTAGGAAGCTTTATTCTACTCGAGCACAAGATAGCCATGAATATCGCACTGCTATTCTTACGAAGAAAGCTATTCGCTGCTCTAAACAACCCAAAATTTCCGACACCTGATTTTACCACGTTGTCGCTGAAGAATCTTCAAAATGTCAATGACCCGATCTTGACCAAATCAGAAAACTTCCTCGCAGTCTTGAACAGGATCACGAATCTACGTATCAGAGTCGTTGTGGAATACGATGAAGCATCTCCAGCATCTTCATGGGGCTTTGCTCCTATGCATGACTTCTTCACCCAATTTCCTTCTACATGGTTAGCACCTTGTACTCAAAACCTCACGTCGCTCACTCTCCATTGCTGTGAGTTCTGGGGATATTTCCCCAGATGTGACTGGAGGGATGTACATTTTCCGCAGCTCAAGAAGCTCGAATTGGGAAATTATACCTTTTCCCATGACTGGCAATTAGACTGGATTTTGTCGCATGGAGATACGTTAGAGGTATTAGTACTCAACAATTGTCCAATCGTTTCAGCTATTCGACAATTTGGAGATGCAAGTGAGGAGAAATATGTCATGGAGCCTACAAAGGATTCTGGTAAGAGTAGCTAGAGACGATCTTAGACCTAAATATACTTACTAATATTTACTTTTAGGCTCGGAAAATGTTTGGTATTATCGAACAAAATGGGCGGATCATTTTCGCAAGATGCAAGACAGTATTCTCAAGCTTCGCCTTCTTCAGATTGGAACCGGAACATGGCTACATGGTAAAGGGTTCGACTGTGCGGAAATGGAACTGGTGGAGGTATCTGGCGTGCCCAAGGACCTCGGCTCGTATTATAATTCGTACAAGCCGCCTCCTAAGTTTCCGTACACGTATTTCAACAGAGGCCTCGGTCCAAGCCCATGGGTGGGTACAGAGGATTTCTCTAAAGATAGTGATGATGAAGAGTCAACAGTGTCTGAGGACGGAGACGAAAAGGATATTAGCATTTCTGTTAACAATGATCCGACATTCGAGGCTGAGAGGGATCAGTCTGGTTTTGATGGTGAGTCTTCTGTTTTCTGACCTAGGAGCATCTCAGATCAGTACTAACCTTGATGACAGAATTGATGACAAGCATAGGAAGTCGTCTTCAACAATGATGGTCTATTTGAGCCCGTGATACGTAGGTTGCCCGCGATGCTCTGCTAAATATCTATAGTAAGATTTTGATGAGATAAAGGAAAGACATTGTACTAGCACAGCAATTAAGATTAATCACACAACACCTGATTTTAATCTCAGTTTCGTATCATGAGACCACTTTGATATGAAATTTGAAACCTGTCCATAATTTGACTGCGGTTTACTTTAGAGTCGGTACATATAATTCAAGTCGTCAAATGACCCAGCTAGTAGTCGAATTGATCGAACAGGAAGTACCAAAGGTTAAGGTAGCCCTTACGAGGCTTAGCTTAGGCAGGGAATGCAGAAAGTAGCAGGACACAGTCCACAGGGTACCGAACAGGTAAATCTCCAGAGACGTCTGAAAACTCTGCTTCGTCACACTGTCGCCGTACATCTCTAACAGGTAATTGGATATTTTCAGACCCAGAAACCCAGCGACTTACCATCATTTGAAGCCCTTGCAGACTTCCAAGATCAAATTGATATACTATATCCATTGACTTCTGGCTATAGGGCCAATTCCCACCCAGATCGATTTCACTTCATAAATACGATATTCCCAAACACATTGAAGTCCTCCAAGATTGGCACGGCTCAGGTTCCGAGATTTTTGCAGTCCCGCAAGCCATACAGGGACCCAAACGCCAACATCCTCCAAATTTCAACGAGATTAGAGTCAGGAAATGTAAAAAGGAGAAGCTTCCATTGGATATCCACTCCCCAATCAAATAACCAAATACAGCTTGATTGAACCAAGAAAAAGATCTCCTCGCAAAGATATGGGGTAGGCGTTTACTAGCAGGAGCCGAATGACCTGGTAGGTTATGTGAGCCAAGTATAGCGACCAGTAGACACAGCACAAATTCTCTCTGCTAGAATTTTTGAAACCGTCCGCAAGAATGCCATCAGATGGAACTAAAGGATCAAGAAATCGTACTATTTTGTTATCGTGTGCGGGCATTAACAGGTCCAGAATAGACGTGCGAGGAACCAACTGAGGGCAAGAAGTATTGGCCACTATTCACCGCTTGAGGCATGCTAATTACAATCTTTGCCATGAATTCAAACGCAAACTTCTAAGCCGAGAGTACACTCGAATGTACTCCCATATATTTGTTGATACGTATGCTAATTTTGTCGAGTGGAACTTTGGCACTGCCTAGCAAAAAACAAGCCTCACCAACCACCCTACCGCTTGTACGTTTAAAATAGGCAAAGTAGGCGATACAATTCTACAGAATTCAGTATACATATGAAAAAAAAATCGGGTAGATGTAATTGCACTAAAAGATGCGAGGAAAGAACACCGGGCGTCTCTTCTCCTTATGACCACTATTCGGTACAATAACTATCTACTGGAAATGGACCTCAGTATCCTATCAAATCTCCGAATGGTAAAGAGAAAACATTTAAAAGCGTGACACTGCTGAGTATTAGTTTCGAATGGGATTTGAACATTACTAGGGTGGTATGAATTATACCGCAAAAAGACCATATAGACAAATTAGAAATCCCATTTTCATTTCAAGGGTATCCTTTCATATCTTCTCAGGATTCATCACTACATAATAAATCAACATGTCCTTCTCATACGCAACACCTCCCAGCCATCAGGGCGCCGCTTACTACGGCTTCTCGACCACCCACGAAGTCGAAAGTACTCATAACGAGATGGTCTAAGCCCAATCCCAACTAGGGATTCAACGAGTGTAGCTGTCGAATAACCATCTAATATAATTGGTAACTATGTGACTGAGGAATAGATACAATGTTTCTCTTGAGCACAAAGCTCTATACTAGAAGAACCATCCTTCGTACATGTAGACCTTCGTTCTCCTTGGATTCATGGCCGATTCGATATCACGTAATTCTATCATGATATAATCCCATCATTGAGCCTAAGGTCTCTTAGTCACAGCTTACTACTACGCCGACTGTAACATCAAGCAAGAAAAAAAAGAAACATAACAGCAGAAAACCAAAGAATGTCGGAGACAGGGAGTCTTTAAAAGTCTAAGAGCATGAGAAACAAGAGAGAGCTTTCTGATAAAGACTCTGTTCGCGGCGAAATAATCGGTGATCACGAACATCAGTCATTTTTCATGCCTGAACATCCAGCCTTTTTGCGAAAAAGAATTTTCGTTCCGGGGTGTGGAAGCAAAATGTGGTTCCATGCAAAACTCTCTGGCAAGTTGGGGTTCTCGAGTTTGAAATCGTACGAGGTGATGAATCGACTGAGAATCATCTTGGACGTTATACTGACGAAATAACGACCGGTGCTATTTTTAAGAAGGCGGTTAGTAAGGGGTTGACTAGAGGTACTGAGATGGGAGGAAAAGTGTGTCAATATTTGGTGACTTTAACGTCGAGAAATCTGGGAGATAAATCGCATCGTAGCATAGGAAGTATCAATGAAAGACGCGACTGGAAATGTAGACTGTCTTCCCAAGGTCTCTTAGGGCCGCTCCAATATAAGAAATTGTGGCTGGGAGTTGTGAATCTGGATGCATGAACCTCGTCTACAGATGCCTTCGTGCTAGGAACAAAGCGAAAAGGATCAAACGTGTTTGGTGACGAATAGTTCGCTTCATCTAGGTTCATGATATGCTGTGGAGCACAGATCCAAATGTCTTTTGGCACATGGGTGCCATCGGCGAAGGTGAAGGGTTTCAGAACTTTACGTGCCATGGTAACTAGATCAATATTAGTGCTTGAGACTTGAAAGGGACAGAAACTGTGCTCCTCGAGCCGTGAAAGGTGGGGTTAGATATACATGAGAGTAGTGGCTGAAGTCTTGAGGTTTCTTTAAGAAAACTGTCCATGAGAATCATCGAGTCGTATTTCGCCTCGTTTTCCGGTTCGTGTTCTAGGCGCATTATCTCCTCTCTGAGGGGCTCGAGGTACTCGGGATATTTACATAAATTCATGAGCGCAAAGCTTAAGAGCTGAGTAATTGTTAATGGTTGTATTTACTTCCTCAGGGGAGCTCTTCCCATACCATAGGTGGTGCATTAGCACCAGCGAAAAAAAATAGCATAGTGTGTTGGGCTAGTCGTTCAATCATTTGAGGAGTCTTCTTGCGAGTAGAGTCCAGCATCCACTGCAGCATATCGACCTGCGATTAGGTCAGCTCTATGATCTATCTCCCGATATATCTTCAATATTTTACTGTACTTACTGGTTTCTCAGCAGAATCTCCGCCGTTCGCCATGCGCTCCCAAAGTAGTTCCATAATTCTCCTATAAATTATCTCTTTGGCACCGTCCCACTCCATTATAATTCTACCAACAACTCTGAATTTTGCAGAATCAGACAATGCAATACTGAGACAGGGGAATGTAAGCCTTACTCGCCGATTACAAAAGGGGTCCACCGCAAAACTTCTTGTGTAAGGCGTGAATTACGGATAAACCTCATCGAGTTTTTGGAAAACATTGGGTCATCCGCTAAGAAGATTCAGCCGAATGAACAGAGAGTTTTCTGGCTGATAAGACATACCCAGTTCCTTCCCCATCATGACAACATTGGTGAGCCTTTCAAAGATATTTTGGGAAAGTGTGAACGGCTGTTTCTTCATTCATCCTACACTTTGATTAGAGCAAGCTTGAACATGGACACTTGACGGGTGACCAACCAGAACCATCGGTTGAACTTTTAAACTCCCGTTTGAACGCAAGATTAACCTCACTCTTCAGTAAAGGGATGACAGCGTGTATGTTCTTCTTGAACAGCACTCGTAAGCTGTGTACAGGATTTGTATGTCGTGGGTCTTTTGGATCAAACTTAAAGCCATGAAAGATAATGTGCGTGGCTAGTTGATATGGATGATGAAATTTAGCCGTTAGATACTTCAAGACAGTGGATCGATCAATTGTGTTTAGCTTAGACTGACCTGTTCCACAATTGGGTTGAACGAAAGTTGGTCTTGGGGTGCACGTTCGACTTCGTCAAGTTGTTGTGAATTTGTAATGAATGTTTTATGTTTGCCAATGCCCGGTATAGTGAACGGTTTACCACTAGCCTGACACTCGTTAATGATTTTGCAGATGACTTGGAAATATGTAGACTCGCCTCGGCATAAGCGTGTCTAATATGACCAGATGCAACGATATGATCAAAAACATTAGTGAACCATTGTCCAACAAACCCTGGGCCCCGAGCCCGAATAAGTGAATTCTGGTAAGAATCAGTCAATTCGATATTGAAGTCACGTTTCTTCCCAAATCTTACCGGCTTCTGAAAGAAATAAATTCTCAAGATATGGTGAAGTTGGAGGAAGAAAAGCAGAAACACAAATATGGCAACCCAACGCCAATTTGGTATGGATATCTTGGGGAATCTTTCGTCCTTCAGAACTTGAGCTATGAGCGACGTAAAAATGTTTGTTAGTTTAAGCATGCTAGAATTTGAAATATCTAGCAAAGTGTCAAGACAGTAGTTTGATGTTGAAAGATATCTCTGCAGGAATGGGCGTGTGTCGATTATACAAAAGCACAAGATCAACAGGTGATCAGAAATAATATATTATAATATTGGAATCTTCAGCCGCAACACACCGAGTTTGAAAACGCTCATGTGAGCCGTAAGCAATTATGTGTGATTTTGGAAGGTAATATCACCGGCTCTTGAAACTTCAAAACCAAGAGTACAGATCTACTAAGAGAACCTTGTGCCTGGGTAATCGAAAGTAATACCCGGTACGAATTGTCATCCGAGTATCTAAGTTTGGAACGAAAGTGACTTTTGTCATGCTGGAAACCACCCTACATAAGATGTCAACTCTCGTTCAAACAGATTTATCATTCTATTATCCTTTCACTGTGCGTCATATATGCATCCATCAAAACGTAGAAGCATGAAGAGTGTTCTTCGATAGCAGATATTGGATGTAGATCCGACATCAAAAACACCGAGTCAAACCATAGCTGCAGACATGCAGAGATGCAGCAACTGGAAGTTGAATGGCATAAATTGAAATACGATCTGCCTTGCCATACATATGCATGCGTATAACCTCCTGAGAACTTGAAACCCTCAATCATATTGCCCCCACAGTATTCTTAACCACTTGCGCAAGATCGGTCCGAAAAGTTCTAGGAATTTAAAATCTTTCTACATAGAATCAGGTTGAAGGATGATGCGGGTAAAAAGGATTCTGCAAGTACTACACCCTCAATTCTATGCTCTGAAACCGATACGCCATTCATCTTTCACACATAGGCTCGGGCCTCAGACCGGCATATAAAAATACCAAAAAGAGTGTGTCAGACAAGTAACTCGGCGAGGGAAATCCTGAAAGTTCGAAAGGCGCAGTGATATGCCGACTCCCGTACCCGGGGGTGACTGGAAGTGTCTTACATATCTAGCCTCGTAGTAATTCAAATTTCAATATCGGTCTTTAAAGATATGGTGTATGGTGGATACGATTTGTAGGATGTGTTTCGGACCATACGCCACTACAGAGTACTGGCTAATGCCCTGGTTCATTTTGATACATCTTAGTTGAAATACCAAAGTGGTATATGGGCTAATGATCTGAGCTCATTACCCAATGCTTGTGTTGGCGTATGGCCCGGAACAAAGAGCCGCCTGGGCATGCCAAGTAGCTTTGAAACCATCCATGACAAGCTAGAATTTGTAAATCTTTAAATTGAAGAAAACTATGTTATCATGATGATACGAACGCCAATACCATTAAAGACTATTAAAATAGTGAGCTCTGCGAACTAAAAGACCTTTACATCGCAGTAGAAATGAAAACCGACGCCACAGCGTTCCGACAGCACAAATGATCTAATTCTTCTACTTCTGACGGAGGTTAACCAGAACATCTTCCCCTTTGATGGGTGGTAGGACACCCAAAGCAAGCATGGCTGTATCGACTTTGGGAAAGGCTTGAGCTTTCGTGCCACTTTTGGTGCCGTCTAGCTCAACCTCGAAGCGAGAAAGTACCAAGGCTACACAAACAAGAATCTCCTTCATTGCCAGCCAACGACCAGGACAGTGAGTGATACCACCCCCAAATGGCCGAAAACTGTTACTTTTATTCAGTTCCTTGTTTCTTAGAAAGCGTTCTGGATCAAATTCATCAACGTTTGTACCGAAGGCCAAAGGGTCAAAATGTAGTTGACGAGTTGGCGCAAAAACCTTGGCGCCTTTCCGCAATATAACGTTGCCCATTTTAGTGTCGGCTAACACATCGCGGACAGTGACAGATGATGTGTTGATGCGAAGAACCTCTTCATATACGGCGACGAGATGGGGGCATGATTCAAGACGGCTGTCGAGGCCTTCTAAACCAGCAGCTACTGCAGGATCGATCTCGGCGAGGATTGATTGGTGTAGTGAAGAGTCGAACCAAATGTAGGATAGAACCCAAAACAAATGTTTGTAGGCATTTCCGTTGATACTAAATTGATTTGATTTGTGAGCAGGCCATTTTGACATTTTAAGGTTCCCCAGACGAGCACAGCATAAGCGTTTGGCAGGGAGCAACTTACGTCCAGAATGGTCCGAAGAAGAAAGTAGCTATATCTTCCTCACTGATTCCTGTACTCCTTAGTTCGTCCTCCAGGGCGTGAAGTATCCAAGCTGCATCACTCCTGCGCTCGCTAGGAAGTTGGATGTAGCGTAGCATCACCGATCTAATCTCATCTTTCGCGTCATAAACATCCGGTGCCACGAGTCTTGGAAGCTCATAATTCATCTTCCAGCTGTTGTCATCGAACTTTCGAAAGATTTCGCTGAGCTTGGGCTCGACTTCGTAAAGTACATTTCCAAAAACCGCCGTCGATACAGGTTTCGCCAAAACCTCGTGGCAGAATGCCAAAAGGGAGACTTTATTAGTGCTTTCCATTGTCGAGATAACGATTTTGGGTGAAAGCTTATCCCATCGAATGCACTCACTGATCTTCATTTGAATTGAGTTGAACAATGGTTGAAGGTGTCCGCCAGGCTGGAGCTGCTGTCTGAAGAAGTCCTCTCCGGCGTGTGCAATAACCTTCTTCTGACGTTTGGCCTGTTTGGTGAACATGATCTCGACTGCCTCGGGGGTCACACCTTCTTTCTTGAAGAAATCTTTGATGAAGCCATCGAAGGTAAGTGTTGAAGTGCTTTTGTATAGCGTTGGTAAGTCATTTGGGTTCGTGACTACATAGATCTGCTGTCCCATGATTGTGATGCCAAACGGCTCGCGAGTATCGCCAAAGTATTCTCTGCGAAGGTATTAAAAATGTAATCCGATAAAACTGAAACGTGGTGTTAGATACACCTACCTTGCCTTTTTGAAAAGGCCTTAACTATCCTTAAAAAAGGCTGGAGCTTGTCCTGTAGCATTGGTTAGTGAGACCGAAGAGTACACGCAGCGATGGTAGACGATTACCAAGTACTGGAGTAACGATTAGCATATTGAAGACTTTCCCAGCCGCAAGCGGATGAAAGCATACCTGGAATCAAATATGGGTATTCCTTTGGGTCTTCGGGATACAGCGCTGGCTTCAAGGTACATTTCCAGACTTTCCATGTTGCCCAAGTAATTGCGACAAAGAAGAAGGCTGAGGGTACATAGAAATAGTTCGATGTACTCTCATTGCCCTTGTGACCAATATACTGGCTCAGAAAGTCAATCGTTTCGGAGAGCATTTTTACTAGGAATGAACAATTTTCGAAGTGTATGAAAAGAGGTCAAGAGTTGTAGAGTAAAGTCGAAAGAAGGAAGTGGGTGATTAAACTTATCAAAATTGTAGTTAAATCGATGTCACACACGATGGGGTTCAGCAAGTCTCAAAAGGCGGAGATGCAAACAAGTTTGCTAATTTGAATATAGGCAAGGATAAAGTAGGGACAAGGAAATAACTGGCTAAATTGTAAGAGTATTGGGTTTTGCGCTTACATGGGGTGAATGTAACTTCCTGTGGCCGAGTATCTGATAAAAACTAATGATGGTTGTCGATAGGTAGGTAGGTAGGTAGGTATGCGGCGAAGTTATAAGTTATATGGTGATGTTGGTTGCAATATTAAATACAAAACATGAGACGAATTCCAATAAGTATATATTATTTAACGCCTCAATTACAAGGGGGGTTATAAGTAAGTCATAGCATATCTATTAGAACTCAAGAAGTCAGTCTCAATTTCAATCTCAATCTCATTTGATCAACTCCATATTCGGTTTCAAAAAGATGCCTTCAAATTTCCCTTACCCGATTCAAAGTAGCTTTTACAATCAACTTTCCGGCAACACCCATTTCTTGTCGACTGACAATGCTCACTTTTTTGTGGCCTGGCTACATTAATCGCTATTGTCCTCTTCATGGGCCCCAAAATCAAGGCCGCACTTCTAGCTATCAGTCTAGGGCTTGAAGTACTGAACTACAATATAATCAGTAAGTGAATGACTGGAAATGAAAGGTGCCGTAAGGGCCATTTTTGATGTTAGCAGGGACGATGAGGCAGCGTCTACTACCCCCTTTCCATCTCGACATCATTCTCACGCAACCCCAGCAAAGAACTCTGCAATCATCAGGGAAGTATTGTATGGCATCGTGATGTGGTTCTGTAAACTTTCGATATTCATACTCTACCTGCGCGTCTTTGGTCCCAACGTGTGATGCGTTACCTCGTCTACTTTGGCGTTGTGCTCTCATTCATGGTCTATGCAGCAACCTCTATCGTCTTTGCAGTCACATGCACACCTCGTGGTAGCCGGACCTGGTTGGAGGCATTGACAACTAAACGCTGCACCACTGGCTCATATGCCCCTGGTTACATCCAAGGATCGTTCGGGGTTTCCTTCGATATTTACTTGTTCATCTTACCGATCTGGCCGGTCTGGCACTTGCAGATGAAGAGAAAAAAGAAGCTTGCTGTGACGTTCATTTTCGCTACCGGTTTGCTGTAAGTTGGACAAGTAGTAAAAGCCTTGCTTTGAAGTGCAATGCTAAGAAACTTCAGCGCTATTGCCGCAAGTATCATAGGTCTTTATTTTCGGGTATTGATCAACCAGCCAAACGTCGATGAGAGCTGGGAAAATCCTATCAACCAAGTTCTCGCGTAGGTATTTCCAGACGGAAGCAGAGCCCTAGATTCGAGGAATTGCATGCTAAGTCTCATCAGCAACGTCGAAATGAGCGTGACTGTTATCTGCGGTTCGATGCCTTACCTCACGTCACTCTTCCGCCGCTTAAATGGCGGCAGAAGCAAGCTATTAGCACCCCTCCAGAATATCCTTTCGCGATCCTACCTCTTCAACCGATCCCGCGGCTCTTCAAGCAGAAGACATCAATTTAGGTCAGACGAACCCTTTCCAAGCTCAATAGAACTGTCGAATAATCCGCATTTGGAGACAAATATCCTCGGAACCATGAATGGGTATGCGAGTTCTCAGTAATAAGCTTTCCTTCTGTCGAAGACCTGGCTAACTCTCCCTCGTTTTTAGTGAAGGTAGATTTCTAAAGACTGTAGACTACCCTCAGAAAGGGATGAGCGCTACATCTTCTAAGGACCTACTACAAGAAGAATCGTTGAAGAGCAACGCCACATTCGATACTTCTGAGACAATCGCTCATAATTGATGGAGCCAGGTAGCCTCTTAGTGGGAATAGAAAGTGAGTAGACGGTTGAAGGATAAAGAAGGGGAGAGAGACGAGTGTATTTGTGTGGAGTGCTAGGTGCGAGTGGAAAGGCGGTGCTCAATGTTTATTTACTTTTCTCGATGAATGATAAGAGAATTCTACATGAGGTACTCGAGTACACCTTTCATGGTATGGGGCTGCAATTTAAACACGTTTTGAAATGTTCATGAAAATAAAAGTAACAAAACTACTGAATCCATGTGCTTAGCGCGTATTGATAATTTTATGTTGAAGTATTCGTCAATTTCACTTGTAACGCGCATGCAAATGAATCTTTTTGTTGTACGAGTATTGAGAACTTGACGTGTGGTACTGAAATGGTATAGAATAGCATGTTCAGATAGAAATGATGAGGCTTCTTGGACGAATGCTCCATTATTATCCGCATTGATTTGTGAGATTGAGGCGACGGCTAGGATGATTGACAGTGTATATCAAAGTCAAATTTGAAGCAGGCATTGAAACACTGACTCTTCCGGGCACTTTGACGGCGTTTTGATGTACGGTGAATTCTTGGTAATACCTACGACAAATACTTTTCCTACTGACTTGATGATCAATTCGTCTTCCTCTTCGACGACTAATCGATGCTGGATATAGAAGCTTGCTCTTTTTGCACATCCGTGATGCAGTCACACATGATGGCTCAAATGTTCAGTTTCAAGTGGAGGTCCAGGGTGAGGTTTGAACAACTAGCCTTTCAGTGTGTAATGCTAGAATTAGAGAAAGATGATTTTTCCCTTGAGCATCCAAATACAACTGAAGAGAAAATGCGCGATGAAGGAATTTTTGACACTTAAGTATTTCTAGCGACGACAACTTTGTCTATCTGACACTGTTTTAACGCCGAACACCACTTTGCGTCATTATGAGGGAAAGAGACATGTGGAACTATTGTGACACTAGATCCAAGTAGTGCAATTCGTTTCTACTAATGTCCATTTGACTTCGGCTTTTTGGGAACACCCGTGACGAATTCGACTTCAATGACTCAGTCCACATTCAGAACAAAACATATTCGACTTCAAATTTTGGGAAAACTGTATGAATGAATGCCGACATACGATATGCAGATCCAATCTACAAGAAATATTAATCCAAATGCCTCAAGCGAACTCCGCGGTTGGCTCTGGTTCTAAGGAAATCCCTCGTACGCCTCGTGTGCTTTCACCAACAACGTCTTCTTCCTTCTTAGCTGCTCTCGCCTTTCGCTCCACTTCCTCCAATTCATACAACTTGCGCTTTGTATCTGCAGCCTCCTTCCTCTCTTTCTCCTCCTTGACCAAACGTTCTTTCTCTTCAATCTTTCTCGTCTCCTCTCTTTCCATAGCCCCCAACTCATCATCCACCTCACCCTCATCCACATTATTTCGTGCCGGCTCCGCAATGATATCTCCAACCTCATCGACTTGTCCCATTTGCTCCCTCAATTTATCAACCACATCATCTACTCTCTCCACACCACCGACCTCCTTATTGAGACCTGACAGTACCTTCGTACTGGACTCCATGATTCGGACAAGATCCACTTGATCAGCGGCTTGCTCTATCTTGGAAAGTACTTCTTCCAGTTGAGATAAGGTAGCGTGACGAGTCGCAAGAGTAGTTTCGGCGCTTTTCTTCGACCTCAAAGCAGCTAGTGCTGATACACGATTCTTCTTTGTAACGGCCTCTTTTGCTGCGCGGTCCATGATCTCAACTCTTTCGGTGAACAACTTTGTTTGAATCTCGAGATCCGCGATAAGAGATCTTAATGATGCTATCGATGTATCCTCTTGGGTTATAAGTGGACTCTCGGAGTCTGTTGGCGCTTTTAACTTGATAGTTTCGCCATCATAAGCTACGATTCTCTTATCCCTCACGAGAAACTTCAGAAAAGCATCCATATCCACATCCGAGAGAATATGCTCCCCGAGCACACTGCCAAACTCCTCCTTGAACATCCTTCTTGAATATATCCTTCCAACTCTCCCCGTCTTTGCCACACTCTTGCCCGCAAATACCTTTGCAGCTTCTTCTACATTCCCAACAATGACAAATTTACCCTCAGGTAGTTTACCTCCTCCAAATGATATGCCAAACTGCTTCAACCCCCAGCCAACAATATCCCAAGGTTTTATAGTCCAGGACCTTGTATAGATACTATCGCTAGCATTCATGAATTCTCCCAAGGGCATCAACTCTTTCTTCGCGATAGCTTCCTGTACAACTGCCCCCAAGGATAAAGGCCTTCCCCATTCATTGGTATCTAATGCGCGCAACAGTTCATCATCTGCTTTCAAAATGAGTAGGTCGGGACTCGATCCTTGAGACGGCATAACCCCAGCTCGTGCTGCATTTCCCAGTGCCTTTCGCCATGCTTCAATATTTGCGTGATAGCCATCCGGATTCAGGTTCTGTTGTTGGCGGAAGTCGGAATACAAGGCGGCAAGACGCGCACTATGTGATGGTCAATATATATGCATGAAGAGGATTGTGGAAAGATTGTGGGGAATGAGGGCTTACCGACGAAACTGTAGTTCATTATTCAAGAGGTAGCTCAATAGCTCACTCATGGTGAGCAGTAATTGTTTCTATTTTGCATGAAGTTGTGATGATGTAGAGTATCGATATGAGATTGTTGCTGTGCGAGATTGTGGATTTCTTGCAGTATTTCTTATCGCGAAACCTTATCGGTGACGGCAGTGAAGTGACGAGATATATATCCTTACTTGAAACGATCGATTTATAGCTTCAACAAACAAAGACGAGACTACGAGCTTTTGAGCCTACGATAGCTATTTAGCAACAATAATGAACTTACGGTGACACCGAAAGCCAGATCAATATGGCAGACCAAGAAGATGGCCCGGCTCGAGGACACTCACCACTCCCTGTTGAATCCAACGATGGGCATGTTCACTTCGACGATGAAAGCACAATTACCTCTACCATTTCGCAATCGACATCCGCCATGACCTCTCCTTTAACGTCAGAGTTTAGAGATGTAGAAAAGAACGAGCAAGATGTGCCACGGCTGCCAACTTTGTCATATAACATACCTCCCAGCGAGGAAGGATCAAGAAGGGATTCAATTGGTGGCTATGGCACAGATGAAGAAGCTTCTATCTGCAAACCCTTCTTGAGAACTTCGAGCCCGAACTCAGATTCGAAGAGAAGTAAAGGAGCGGAGTATGAAAAGGTGGGAGATCTGGGCGTTTGTACGATGCAGAAATTCTCGTTATATGAGACAGCCACGAGGTATTATGTTGTTGGGGCGGATATCCTTGACTCTCGATTTCGAATCCTGAAGATTGATCGTACCGCAGAGATAGGCACCTTGAATATTACTGAAGATGAGATTGTCTACACGAAGAAGGAAATGACTCAGCTACTCAATGCGATTGATGATGGTAACAAGATTTCAGGAGGTATGAAATTGAAGAGTGCTGTTTGGGGTATACTCGGGTTTATACGCTTTACCGGTTGCTATTATATGCATATGATCACCAAGAGAAATCAAACTGCTATGATCGGTGGCCATTTTGTATACACAATCGAGGCTACGGAGTTAATACCACTGACTACATCTACTAATTCTAGATTCAAGTCATCAGATACTCGGAATACTGAGGAGTCGAGGTTTCTCAGTATTCTAAATGGACTTGACTTGAATAAGTCTTTCTATTTCAGTTATTCATATGATATCACGAGGACGTTGCAACACAATATCATGACAGAGCGAGCTGCTCTAGCAGCAGGAAAGCCTTCCCCTCATCCTAAAGACTACAATTCTATGTTTGTTTGGAACAGTCACTTGTTAAACCCTGCGGAAAATGTGTTGAAGAACACTTATGACTGGTGTGTGCCTGTCGTCCATGGATACCTTGCACAAGCAGCGCTACCCGTATGGGGACGGATCGTCTACATAACAATTATAGCAAGACGTTCGAGACACTTTGCTGGTGCTCGATTTCTCAAACGCGGCGCTAATGATATGGTATTGTTCTCCAACCTGCTTCGAGAGGTGTGCTAAATCATGTAGGGATACGTCGCCAATGATGTCGAGACTGAACAGATAGTTTCGGAAAATACGACAACTTCATTACATGCTCCTGGCCCAAAGCTTTATGCAAGTTCAAACTATACTTCTTATGTACAGCATCGTGGGAGTATCCCACTACACTGGACTCAGGATAATACCGGTGTCACGCCTAAGCCTCCTATCGAGCTGAATTTGGTTGATCCATTTTACAGTGCGGCCGCGTTACATTTTGATAATCTCTTCGAAAGATACGGAGCTCCTGTTTTTGTATTGAACCTGGTGAAAGCCAAGGAAAGGACTCCGAGAGAGTCAAAGCTATTATACGAATTCACAGATGCAATCAATTATTTGAACCAATTTCTTCCGGCAGACAAGAAGATTATCCACAAACCATGGGATATGAGTCGAGCTTCAAAGAGTCGAGACCAGGATGTGATTGGTACTCTTGAAAGTATGGCTAATGAAGTTGTTACTCGCACAGGTATCTTCCATAACGGAGACGGTAAGACAACAATGCCAACTGTACAAAACGGTGTTGCTAGGACGAATTGTATTGATTGCTTGGACCGAACTAATGCCGCTCAATTTGTCATCGGTAAAAGAGCTCTTGGATACCAACTCCATGCTCTAGGTATCTTGAGTGAACCTTCAATCAACTATGACACTGATGCGATAAATCTCTTCACATCCATGTACCACGGACATGGTGACACTATTGCTATTCAATATGGAGGCTCTCAACTCGTCAACACTATGGAGACTTATCGAAAAATTAACCAATGGACAAGTCAATCTCGAGACATGGTGGAAAGTTTCCGGAGATACTATAACAATTCCTTCCTTGATGGCCAAAGACAAGAAGCCTACAATCTTTTTCTCGGCAATTATACCTACGTCCAAGGACAACCTTTGCTATGGGACTTAACAACTGACTATTATCTTCATCACACCGATCCCCGTGTTTGGTCCCCGCGTACTCGCCGTAGCTATATAAATTGGTACACGCCCTCCTTCCTTGAGAAGAAGACTCTACCACCTTATTCCGACCCCCAAGGCGCCCTCTCAAACAAGCCTCTCGCCTACTTTGACGACTATTGGATCGAATATTACAAGCCTCTCTCCATCTCCTCCATCGTCAAGATCTTCACCTACCCTGGCAAAATGTCTTCCTCGGCCCGCCTCATGCTTCGTACCCAACATCGTGATGAATCTCGGATCGGGTACGATGTCTCTCCATTCAGGGTCCGCGCTGATGCCACTGCTCACGTCGAAGAACAGGCAGCCCCTCACGGGCCACCGAATGCAAAGGGCAAGAAAAAGGAAGTATCTTTTCCGGAGACTACAGAGGTAATTGCTGATGATGAGGTGCCGGAGGATTCATCCATAAAATCCGGTGCTACGGGTACGAAACGCATTAGTCTTCAAAGATGGCTCCAGCCAATTCAGGAGTCTAGTCTTCTTTCTAGCAGTGTACAACATTCCCCAACGACATCGCAGCACCATCATAATCCTCATAGTATTATGAAAGAGACATCTTCGCATTCGCAATCACATTCTACAGAAGATTCTTTCCTAAACTATCATTCTGAGAAGAAGAAGATGACTCCATTGGACAAAAGCAAAGCCGCTCAATGGACTTTCACTCAAGTAGTCAGCGAATCCCTCAACCCTAGCGTCAATCTGGGCGAAGAAGAAGACTACGAACGCTACGTCGAATATCCGCAACTACTATCCCTAGTAATTGGAGATGACGACCACGATATCGAAGGCGTAGAGGAATACGAGGAATGGGTAAGAGGTGTGGGATGGGATGGCGGCTCTGGACAAGGTGGATATAATGGTGGTATTAATGGGGGTTGGGGACGAGAAGAAGACCATGAGGAAATCGAGGAATATAGAAGTTTTTTGAGGGTGGCAGAAAATCCTTTGACAGTTCTGGAGGAGGATGGACAGAAAAAGCGGTATAAGGCTTATAGGAAGTGGCTGGCGGGCAAAAGTTTGTTCAAACAACAACCTATTGATTAGATATCTAGGTGAAAGGCGAAGGGTTGTTTTGCAATAGCGTGATATATTCGTAAAGGGGTGCATTTAGCGATGGGATTATTTAGTGTATGGGATACCAGTTCATTTACATTTCATTCACAATACAAGATTGACGTCTTATTTGAAAGAGGCATGGGTATGAATTGTATACCGGTATACAAGTACTTCGGGTAACAAATATTTAAAACCGCGAGATACTTTATTATTATATATACTGAGTAGTCGTATGTATATCACATCTCTCTTGAATAGATATCGCTTAGAGATTTCTTGTAACACAAATTAAACATTTGAATTGATGTCAGGCCGCATAATGCTCCACTAAAATATAGTGTGGCACTATCACCCTCAAATCTCACGTGACTGAGCTTAAGCCCTTACTATATACAGCCTAGCTTTTAACGCCCCGAGTCGGCAATACAAGATTGTGGCACAACCCGCCGCCATCGCTTAATATAGTCTTATCGACCAATCAGATCATCAGGATTACTGAGATTTAATCAAATTTTTATATTTAATCTATAATATGAAATTGAATAACTATTCTATATATACTCAAAATTGTATATAATAAATATGTAGTAATTCTCAATTATTGACTTTTTTCCTATATCTTGAAATCTAAATTTCGGTTCAAAATTAAATATTAAAAAAAAAGTCTTTGGAAAAGCTGTTTTTGATATTCAAAACCCGATTCTGACCAATGAGGTTTCTTCATTCAATGAATATCTACACAGACCACCCTGGCGGCGGCTATGGACATTTAAGGGATAAAATCATCGAATAGATAATCCACTTCATTGAATCTTCCAATCATATAATCTGCTTAGCTTTAGCCTTAGTATCTACCTTGACCAAAGGGGTAAGGGCTTAAGCTCAGCTACGTGAGATTTGACGGTATAAATGCAATTTTACGCGGCTACCAAGTCCCATCAGGGATGGATTCAATCAAGCCCATCCGATAGCTACTAAGTAGGCCATTAACCTTACTGCATGAAGAAACCCCAATACACAACCAAAAATTTACCCCCAAACATCTCAAATAAGTTCGAATTCAATCATGTTTTCCGAGTCCGCGAATCTTACGACTTATTGAAGTTACTACGCATTGGAAAGAGTACCGGAAAAGGCATGAAGAATCTCGGATTTCTCACAAGAAAGGGTTGAGCTGCTGGTTTGCTTCGACCATGGTAGGCTCGGACAGCATGAATAACAGGAATGGCATACCGCTCATTCAAGAGATTCCAGAGATTCCAGACAGTCTAGAGTTTACAGAGATTTCAGAGGTTCCAGACATTCAAGGTCGGCTTCACGAAATTTGTATCGCAGATGCGAGTCAAGACCCCATAGCAAGTTCTGCAAAGTCGCATTCGTCGCGCACTGCCGCCACCGTTCAAAATCCAATAGATTGGACCCTAGATATTCCCGAAACCGAGCACGTCCAATTGTTCAGAGCCACAGATTGGGCTGCGACCCCCCTTGGGCCATTGGAATCATGGGGTCTTGCGCTTCGACTGCATACTTTTACGACCTTCTCAGATACGAGGCCTGCGTGTTTATACTGGTATGATTTGAAGGTAAAATCTTCAAGATAATTGGGGACATTCTGACAATATCACATTGCTAGGGGACCAGAGAGAGTCGCAATATACAACGAACATTTTATCATAATAGCTGGCAAAACTCATCCAACTTTGATGGGCAAGCCTTTCGAAGTGAGCTTACCAGAAATCTGGAACGACATAAGGGGCCTGTTCATTCAGGCAGAGATTACCAAGGTTGCGGCGGATGTCAATGAGATATCTTTAATGTTAGAAAGGGGTGGATACAAAGAAGAGACATATTTTACTGGAAGTTTCAACCCAGTGCGGCGAGAAGATGGGACAGTTGGAGGCTTCTACAATTTTTGTTTCGAAGTGACCAAAGAAAAGCTTAACGAGAGAAGATTGAACATGCTTAGCGAATTGGAGATGCCAACAGGATTGCAACAAAGAACTTTTGCTAGCCACGTAATGCCTCACCTAAAGTCGAATCCGCTAGATATTCCAATGGCTATGCTATATCAGGTAGATGAACAAAGTCCTTCTGGATCCACGGTCTATCTACGGGGTCAAATTGGCTTTCCTGATCACCACCCACTTGCTGTGCAACAAGCAGAGCTCAGTAGCTGCCTCGCCCTCTTTCCATTGTTATGTGAGGCAAGGAACGGGATCTTCACTCATTCTATTGACGAAAGATTTGCGGGAGTTCACTGGTGTGGTCACAAGGATGAGTTTACCGGAATTCACGAGCCATCAACACACTTTAGTATCCTGCCACTATCGAGTGCTGATCGTCTTTTTGGCTACTTAATCATAGCAGCTAACTCACGGAGACCCATCGATAAGGATCATAACCAGTTCATGAAATCTATCGCCTCGAGGGTCTCATCCATCGCATCTGCTTTGGCTAGCGCCGAAGAAACAAGGCAAAGGGCCAATCGTTTGGAAAGGGAACTAGCCGAAAGTGAGAGACAAATTAGATATATGGCACAGAATGCGCCCGTCGGTATGCTGCAATTGTCCATGGAAGGTAAAATCCTCTGGGCAAATCAGATGTACTATGAACTTACCGGCCATCCGGGACCCGAGGAACCACAGTACAACTTCTCATTCCTTGATATACTGATTGATGAGGATAGGGCTCTAAACTTACAGTCCTGGGCTCGACTTCATACAGGACAATCTCATATTGAGACTACATCGCGGCTCAAGCGTATGTTTGTGCCACCCTGTGGGGAGCCTCATCACGCTTACATGCTCTCACTCGCATTCCCATATATGGTAAATGGTGAGGTCAAATCAATCATGAGTTGCATTACGGATATTTCTGAACTCAAATGGGCTGAAGCATCAGAAGCGAGAAATGCCGAGGAAGCGCGGGCGGCAAAACGCCAACAAGAAGAATTTATTGATGTTGTCTCTCACGAAATGCGAAATCCTCTTTCTGCTATCTTCCAGTGTGCGGATATGATATCGAACTCCTTCAATGATCTATCACATACGGATGCTGCTGAAATTTTGAAAAGCAATGTCGAGGCGGCAAACACTATAGCCATGTGTGCCAGTCATCAAAAGCGCATAGTGGATGATGTCCTCACCCTATCGAAGCTCAAATATATGATGCTGACTATTTCGCCACGACCCGCTCGCCCGGCAGGTCTCCTTGGGCAGGTGACGAAAATGTTTGAAGCTGATTTGAAGTCTCACGACATCTCAATCGATACAGTAGCTCAACCTTCATTCCGCGCAAATGACATTGATTGGGTCACGTTTGATGCTTCGCGTGTAACCCAAATCTTGATAAACCTTTTGACTAATGCGATCAAATTCACCAGAGGGGAAGAAAAAAGAAATATCACAATCACTTATGGTGCTACACTTGTTGAACCTCAAAACGCCTTTGAAAAGGAATTCTACTGGGTACCTTGTGAGAATGAGGTGGAGGATCTGACCCTACATTCTGAGTGGGGTTCTGGGGAGCATGTGTTCTTGACGTGCGCAGTCACAGATACGGGAGTGGGCATGTGTGGCGAGGAAATCCCTCGTCTGTTTACACGCTTCGAACAAGCCAATTCGAAAACATCCATAAAGTATGGTGGATCCGGTCTGGGATTGTTTATTTCTCAGCAACTTACTGAAAAGCAAGGGGGAAGGATTGGTCTGTCCTCGAAATTAGGCGAGGGAAGCACGTTTGGATTTTATGTTAAGGCGCGGCGTAGTATTGAACCACCAAATACTATCCGGCCAAATTTGACTCCAGAGTCCTCCGGAAGTTCCGAGGTATCTTATTATGATGGATCGAAAGCGATGCAGGTTCTTCTAGTCGAGGATAATCTCGTCAATCAGAAAATATTAAAAAAGCAATTAACGAAAGCTGGTTGCGTTGTACATGTGGCTAATCACGGGTTAGAGGCCTTGGAAATATTAAGACAATGCTCCTGCTGGTACGAGCCGGTGGAAGACGCAAAAGCTCTGGATATCATACTCATGGACTGGGAAATGCCTGTTATGGACGGCCTCACCTGTAGTCGTGAGATTCGAGCATTGCAACAATCTGGAAAGATTGTCAGGCATCTTGAAATTATCGCAATCACTGCTAACGCCCGAGAGGAGCAGGTTCAGTTGGCGCTACATAACGGGATTGTAAGTTATCCAATGATGGTTTGAAGTGGAATTTTATGCTAACAGATGTTGCGAAAAAAGAACTTCGTGATGTCGAAACCTTTTGTGGTGTCGAATCTACTGTCCAAGATGAAAGAAAGGTTGAGTTTTATTGATGACGGAACGACTTTTCAGTAAACGAACAAACTTCGAACCTCTGGCTATAGTGGCAGCCAGTTTTATGTACAACATACCAAGACGTGATAATTTCATCCGTACAGTTATCCAATTGGCTTTTGTATACCCCATGATCATTCAAATCCTGATCAAGAATCGACAGGCGTCGCGGCAAGATTTGGGAAAATGCTGTGGGCATATACCCATGTCCCACAATCATTAACAATACCGTGCACGATTCCGGTACCCTCGAAAGGAGGGAAAGTCTGATAGGTGAGACAACAACCGACAGAAAGCCCGACGTGGCCATTTTGCAGTTCTTGTACCCATGCTGGACTCAATTTGATAGGATTTGGTTGGACACAAAACTCGAGACTTTGGGAATCTATCGACAACACAGGCAGTCTTCGACAAGTACTGAGTGGCATCATTCCTACACGTCAATGCCTGCCGACTCTGAGGTTTGAGTGCCGGTACAAAGAGCAGCTGCTCACGTCGCTCGCTTCCCTGATAAAAATATCCGACATCAATAGGGAGGAGTGTTAGCGCCGTAATAATAAATACAAAATCACATTAAACCTCTTTTCTCTTCAGCAAAAAGGCTTTATCTCTAGACTAAGTAACAACATATATTCCTTCGGACAATAACCAGCGAATCACTGCAAGCAAAAGCATTTGCTAGATGTCAAATAAAATATACTTACTGGCTATCTACACTTATTTTTTGACAGACGCATGCTTATAAATCAATTGTGCCATAGGTGATTTTGTTTATCGTATTTACCGGGGTTACCTAATCAGGGAGCCAGGGCTTAATAAGCAAAATGTTAGCATTTGATTGGTTCGTGCGCATGAAATAAACGTGACAAAATGAGATGCATGAATGAAAACAGAACTTTTTTACATTGAAAATGAGTCTGTTGATTTGTGAATTGGTATTCTGAACTGGGTATATAATATATTACTTCCATCTATTATGGTTGCGACAGCCTGCTTGTGTTTGAATCTGTACTGATAACTCCATCCTGTGTATCTTGCCCTCGCATTCTAGGCAAATGTTCCTCATATTGTGATGATGGGGGTGGCTCCAATGAGCTTTCGGGTAGTTGATTTGCGGTTTCGGCAAGGAAACGTCTTTGAGATGGTGGATTGCTGGCTGCTGATGTTTCTTGCAGTGATTGGTGTGGTGTTAATGAGGTGGTTTCGGTATTTGCTCTATCTCTCTGTATATCTACTAATGCATCTTCTCGCCTTTCCACGACATCCTGACTAAACGCGATATCCTGTAAACTTTGACTGGAAACCGGGGGCGTCATTGTAGATGCTGACGGATCATCCTCCTCTGACTCCTTGGGCGATTTGCTTTGCATCTTCTGACGAGCTTGAGCTATCAGGTCATTGAAGCTACCTTTATGCTGCTCACTCCAGGCCAGCCCATCGAAATCCTTATCCTTGATATGGGCAGATAATGCGCTTGGTTGCGGTGCTCGTGAACCCAGTGTTCTTTCCCAAGAATCAAGATCTTTCTTCAACTGTGCCGTGCCTCTCGGATATTTCGCATCGCAGTTGGCATTCCATATAGTCGTGTATTCCGTTAACCTCTTCCTCATCATCTCCCTTCCACCGGCCGCAGATATTCCTAGATCTAAAAGCTTTCTCCTCAATGCCTGGTCTTTGATTAAACTAAAGTTGACGACAGGTAATCGATCCGGCCGATTGACTGGCTGGGAGGGAAATGAGGGCTTCGATAGTTTACTTGTAGATTGACTAGTAGGTTCGGATTCTGCAAGGCATCTTCCAATATGAGCTTCAACACTTTTCGCTGTCATCCGTCGATTGCACACCGGACATGCAGTAAGGCCATCATCTGTCCAGTAGATTAGCTACTGCAAGCCAGAAGTTCAAAGCAGTTTATGGCCAATTACTAGGTTTGAAATCCTCGTCATCTTCCACATTGTCAATGGATATTATCTCCTCTACAGCCTCAACGCTCTCGAGTCGTCTCGTTGCTCGCCTTGTTGAAGATCTCGTCTTTTTATTTGCTTGCCCGTCGAGTCCACCTACATCCGATACATCGCGCTTCCTTTTTGGAGATGTGATTGTATGTTCCACGGCAGGTTTCCTCGCAAGTTCCAATGCAGCTGGTCTAGCCCTTATGAAAGCCTCAACCAAATCCTCAATAACCGCATTTGATTTCAGTTTAACCTCTTGATCATTCGATCTACAAGTCGGGCATTTCGAATCATTGTTTAGGCATCTTCGTATACAGAGTGAACAAAATGTGTGCGAGCAAGATGTAATCATAGGCGTGGTGAAGAAGTCCTTACAGACTTGACATCGCAATAAAGAATCAACATCTGCGAACTTAGCAAGTGGTGTATTTAGCCAATCCGTTGAGTCTGCTACGTCAAACAAATTATCCTTCGGTCCATTGATGTCCATAGCTTCTTCGATGAAGGTTTTGGTTGACTTTTTTGTGATGATTGCATTCTTGTTCTTCCTTGTTGATTGAGATGACATCTTGGAAGTTTCGCGTAAAGTGGTTGGTAGAACTCGCGACGCGTCCGCCGTAAAATAAATCTAGATACAGCTCCAGCAACCTTTTGAAAGAAACCACCAAATTAAACAAAATGGTGGATTTTAAACGTTATCTTGCAGCGAGTATCTTGACCGAGGATAGAGTCGTAAGTTTGTTGTTTGAGCCTTTCACATTTGTTTTACTAAAAGTTTCCTAGGTAACTTATCGACTACTCAGTCGGGTCCTAAAGGTTCATGTGAATGCAGCAAAGGAGTATGTGGTCACCGAGCTTTATAAAGACTTCTGCTAACAGTCTGGCAGAATGCTGTTTGAGTTTCATCGAGTCCAAAATGCAAGGAAGCCACGATCCATCCATGCGACATATCTCATTGGTGGAACAAGAAGAAAGGAAACCCCGGTAGTGATTGAAGTCCAGAAGGATGGCGAAGATGATTATATGCAGAGCAGTCCCTTTGTTGGAAGTTCAATGCCACAAGCTGAGGAGAGTACTGGCGAAGGTTCTATACTGAGCATAACTTTGACACGGGAGGAGGATTTGGACAGTAGGAATACCACCTTTCAGTTTACCTATCCCGTAGCTAACACCTTCATGCAGAAATTCGGTCGGAATATGAACATATTTCTTCAATACATATCTACAGTATAGGGCCTCATCCGTTGAAGGTATATACCTTTTGTTACCAAACGCCAATGAGTACTAACATACTCCTAGGAGCTCCAACTCCTCTCAGATGCAACCCGAGAAATCCAAACCCTCTCTAAATCCGAAGATCCTCTCGAATCCTACCACAAATACGGAATAATAACCAATCCCAATGCGAAACGTCGTACACGCAAAGCACCACCGGTTGTGCCCGCCGCACCAACACCTGTTCCAGCCAGACCCGCAGCTGCGAAATCTAAGCTCAACGAAGTTCAAGAAGCTCCCAAATCCTCCTCCACATCCTCCAAAAAACCAGAATCCAAATCACAACCCTCTACCGCGAAAGATTTCTTCGGTAACAAGGGAAAAGAAAAGACCAAGCCCAAACTACAAACGGAATCCAGCAAAGCGGAATCTACAACTGCGCCTTCGAGCAAAGAATCAACACCAGCTCCTCCCGCAAACCTAAAGCGCGAATCAAGTAGCATTTTCAAAGCATTTGCAAAGACTCAACCTAAGAAATCGAAAATCGAGGAAGCGGATTCGAGCGCAAAGGAGGATATCCCCATGAAAGATGCCTCGGACGATGAGGATGAAGATACATGGATGCCAGCGCCTGTCAGCAAAGAAAGCAAATCCCACGACCGCAACTCCAGAAAAGAGACACAAGAAAGATTGAGGAAAATGATGGAAGAGGAAGAGGAGGAGGAAGAGGAAGAAGCTGCACCATCTCCAGCCTCTGAACCAGCAGCCGAGGAACCCGAAAAGGAGAACGAGGCCGAGGAAGTCAAGGAAGAAGAACCTGCCGTGACTACAAGTAATGGTCGAAGAAGAGGTCGAAGAAGAGTAATGAAGAAGAGAACCGTAAAGGATGAAGATGGTTATTTAGGTATATTACCCCCTCCCCCCCTCACCTCCTTCTTTTTCACCCCCACCCATCTCCATCTCCATCCCCATATATATTCCCCTTCACTCCCCCTCACTCCCCCTCACTCCCCCTCACTCCCCCTCACTCCCCCTCTCCCTCTCTTCCTCCCAAAACCCACAATCCTCCCACCTCCCCTCTCCCCAAACCCCAAATCCCAAACCCCCACTAACCCACCTCCCCTCTCCTAGTAACCAAACAAGAACAAGCCTGGGAATCCTTTTCCGAAGACGAACCGCCTCCTCCCGTACCCAAAACCAAAGCTCCCATCTCCACTTCTACTTCCACTTCCACAACTGCCAAATCTAAGAAAGACGCGCCGAAGAAGGGACAGGGAAATATCATGTCGTTTTTTGGGAAGAAATGATATGGTGATTTTGCTTGGGGTTGAGATTGGGATTGGGATGGGGATGGGAGAGGGCTGGGTGGGGGTAGGGTAGTAAGTAGGACATTATTGAAGGGATTTTGCTAGCGAGAGGAGGAGGCCAGGCGGCGATATGGGCTGAGCTTTATGAGTTATAGCTATAGGGTCATATTTATAATTGCCTTGCCTAGTTGCGAGCGGATAGCTCTGATCGGGATGAATTGGCATCGTCGGCGAGGAAATAAATGTAATGAAACGAAACGACAACAATGTATTCAATACTAATAAAAGATGCAAAAATAGTGTATATTATATTCGCTCTGAATCTATCTCTCACGCTTTCCGCTAAGATATCAATACATAACAACCTACTTCTTAGAATATCAAGCATCTTCAAAAGGCATGATGCACCTTTTACGAATAGCCGCCTGACACACAAATACACCAACCAACCAATCCATAAGTATAACTCCAATCATAATCATCGCTTTCATGTTTTATTTTTCATACACGCAAACACGCACAAGTTTCTTCCCGACTGTTACTAAAAGAATATCAAGTCTCAAGCTTCAATATCATAAGCATCAGCATCTTCTCCAAACAGTAGATGCGGTTTGCGTTTCGCGAGATCCAGGATTGTTTGTGCAAAGACCGAATTTGCCCCTATTACAGTAGTATGTTAGTATGACGCGAATTCACTTTTACTTGGAAAGAATGCAAGGAAGGGGAGGAAGGGGAGAGGATAATGGGACGAAATTACATACATGCAAACCAACTCCTCGTATATTCCTGTATACGATTCACGTTAATACTCTCATGAATCAAGCCCAATCTACTGGCTTTCAGCACTAGATTCAAACACTCCATGATCTCTGTATCGTCATCGGAAGTCATGGCTTGTAATAATAATGACATGGGCCATGCATTTTCAGGACCGATGTGTGGACCTCCTATGCCTTTAAATGCTTTTCCTTCAAGATAGTATGGATTTCCCTCTTTGGATAAGAGCATTTTTCGTGTATTTTTATAGATTTGGTCGTCGCGTTTGACGAAACCGAGGATTGGGAGGGCAAGGAGACTGGGAACGTTGGCGTCGTCCATGAGGATTTGACCACCGTAGCCATCGACCTCGTAGGCAAATACTTTGCCCCATTTTTTGTGTTGTACGACGGCGTGGTTCATGATGCCATCTCTGATACTTTGTGAGCGCTTCTCTAAGGTTTGAGCGAGATCAGTGCGTTTGGCTAATTTGAGAATTTCGGCGGTACGCTTCAGTTCGACGGACATCATGGCGTTGGCGGGAATGTAGAAACCTAGGATCGAAGCATCGTCTGAAGGCCGAAATGCGCTTCGTATGAGACCCGTCCCGTGGTTCAATGGATTGCCAACGCCAGATAATGGTAAAGTTTCAGTTCCCTGGTCGGTTTGACGGCTGAATGTGTAGGCATTACGTTGGAAGCGACCAGTCTTGGAGTCAAAGCTAGATTCAGATTGTTGTTCGAGGACGATAAGAAGAGTATCAAGTGCGGTTAACCACCGCGGGGTAACAAAGTCGGTTGATTTAGTGTGGTTGTAGAAAGTATTTCCCAAAGCCAGGAAATGAGCAAGGGAATCTAGTTCGTATTTGCATTCGAATACGAAAGAGGGTTCGTATGCGGGGTGGACATTGTCATTCTGTCCGTTTTGCGATGCGACAAGCTTCGAGGGCGGAGGAGGTTGGAATGCGTTGCAATATGGGGATTGTATAACATATTCTGCTTGCGTATTGATAGCCCCCAGTATCAAATTGAAGATAGCTGGATCTTTATTTGCCAGTGGCTGGTATTGAAGCAATTGGTTCGTAGAATCTCTGAGCCATTCCGCATTGATATCTCCAGTGACCACGAATGACTGCGCTCCCTGCCATTTCTGACTATCCCCCGCACTTCTGGCTTTCAATTCCGTATGTTTTGTAGTTCCATCAACGTGCCATCGTACAGTCGTATCGAGGGTATTAGGGAAAGCGTTTTCGAATAGTCTCGCCAGGTCTTTGTTAATCATCTTAAGTGACATATCATCGATGATCTTCTCCACCAAAGGAGAGGAGAATGTCCGACATTGCTCTGCAGGTCTTTGAAATGGCAGATTCATAGGTCCATCGGAATATGGCCCATGGCGAAAGGTAGAATATTTCGTATAATCTGGGCATGCTTTCGCATAATTAGTTGCTTCATTTGTTGGCTCTTCCGGTCGATATGGCGACTGAGCTATTGCGCCCAAAGCTCCTAACCACAAGAGACAAGTTTGAAGGGGAAAATTGCCCATTGTAATGAACATGAAGTTGTGCCAAAGCTAATGAAAGGTTTGAAGATTTGTCGAGCCTTTCTAAGGGAAGAAACTCTTTTTCGACGTCTGAATAAACATTGAGAAAGATTGCTTTCCACAAGTGAAGCTTGTTGCGATAAAGTCCTGTGGGTCGGTCCAAGCAATAATGAATGATTGGCGTTTCGTGATCGAACAGACCTCTTTTCTCCTTTGACTCGACTGAGAGTTATTCTGAGTATACGATTAATTAATTCCGGTCTGAAATGACAAGATTGGAATAATATCTTGTCGGGTTCGATATCAAAGAAACTGATTTGATAGCCTTGAACCTTCAATGCAAGGCGGTGGTGGAACATCGAACTGATGTCTTGGCGGCGGGATGCTTCCGCTTCTCCATCTACTGGCCGATTCCTGAGATATAAAAAAACACAAGATTCACAACGAAAATAGCAACCTTTGGATTCATTTCGTTCTCGCAATTGTGGCTAATCCACTCTTCTCCCTTTCAGTACTTTTGTTGTGGAAAGAGACGGAAAGCGCTTCAAGATCTTCTACCGCCATTACACAGCTCTTCTCTTATCTCTCTTGGTCGGGTCACTCCCGCCTCGCTGCGAACCACACACTGCCTTGGAGTCAAGGTGATGTTGCGGAGGCATAAGGTTTATGACTGTTGCGAAAGTCCTGTAGTTGTCTACAGTCACAGCAGACAGATCTCTTGTCCCGGGATCTCGAATAAGTAGCTGGACAGGTTACCTACACCATTCTCCATGACGTGATTCAGGATCATATGTAAGGGGATCATTTATCTTACTAGACATTATTCCATGTCTCTCTCTCTCTCTCTCACTGCAATTCTTTTATCGTTATTTATTATGTTTTATGTTATGAGAAAAAACTGGCAATCACTGTTAATTAGGTAACCCAGACTTTGTGTTTTTGGTATGTTGTTCGAGTTCAAGTAGTCTAGCTGTGTCGACTTGCTTCGCATTAAATTCAGTTAGCGATGGTATCCATGTCTGTTCTCCGCCAGCGACCTGTCAAAGGGCCAACAATGCCAGTTTCACCGTCTAATCGGTCAACCCCTTAGAACCAACATCTGACATGTCTAAATCAACATAAAGTTTGACAATTCCCTTCAGTGCAATGGACGAGAAAATGATTTTGTAGGATGGAAGGGAAAGGGTTTCGAAACGAAGTTGGCTAATTTCAATCGCCCGATTAAAATCCCTGTTGATGTTGGCAGGTGTTGGTTGTTGTCCAAGGGAATAGCTTCAAGGCTTCTCCTTTGTTTCAAATCAAATGTGCCTGGTGATCAATTCCATATCTTCCAGTCGACAGCAGGCTCAGCTGAAATTAGGCTAGCTAGGAAGTTGAACCTAGTGACGTCCAACGGCAAGGCCAGTAAAATCCCACATATCATATTGCAGAGCCAGTTTTTCCACATTTTTCCAACATCAACTACAGGATTCGATGGCTGCTTCAGTTCCAGTCAGCAGCTGTGGCCAATCAGGCGAGAACCGCCGCTTCCTATACCTCCTGACCTGTGCCAATGCATTCATCATTTGCGAATCTGGTCAGCGAAGAGAAGGGCGAAGATCAATCCGCCACGGTTGACACGACCCAGGAATTCATCATCAGTTTGCTCCGACTTGAAACGAAACTTACTCCCAGTCCTACTACCTTCAGAGTCGGCGTCGAAAGTGCATGATAAGCAAACATATTTCACTTTGGTCCATACATATAAGGATGGGTGTTTGATTTCCAATCTTCTTCCAAACAGTATTTCACCTTTTTAATGCCTCCTTTAATCGGTGGAATCAAATCCGAACGTCCAACCGGCTCGTCGAGCATTTGTCCCAGGACGTTTACAACACCGACGATGCTCCCATCAGGACTCAGGGGATTCAAGTCTAGCGAGCAGATTTCTATTGCGATCATCTGAGCCGCAGCTGTACTTCCATATTACTTCTTCACTGGGTGAAATAAACAGCAATTACTATGAAACGTGGTTACTCTCTAGAAGTTAAGATTTTGATGGGGTAACTATTTCGAATAACATCAGGCACACTGCCTGATGCCTACTGCATTTAATCAAAATTTCGGAACCGATCAAGATTTGGCAACAGGGTACGACGTGATAATAAAGCAAACTCCAGAGATTCACAATCTCCATTCCAAATTTTGCTGGTTGGACGGAAACATACAAAGAATGAGTTTTGTTTCTTTACATCGAATAGCGGGTGTAACATTTTGGCGGTATGCTATTAGATTTTTTTTTAATAATTTTCAGTATATACGGGATCTAATTATTCACAGGAAGCGTTGGCATGGGTATGGGTATGTTTTTTGTTTTTTTCTTTTTAATTGTTTTTTTTGTTTTAGAGGTTGGGTTTGATTATCAAATAACAGGTAATTCATATGACTAACTTGCATTACTCCACTTCACTAAAGAATAGAAATAACCAAAGAAATCACTTACCGCACAAGACGAGCAAATTCAAGCATGTGCATGCACTCACCTCTCTCTCTCCCTCCATTTCTCTCAATCAGCACAAGGTACTAACCACCTACCTCATCCTCTCCATGGCCGCCAATTCATTTCCACATCCACCTACCCAATCAATCAATCCTCAAAAAAAAAGGTTTCCACTTCCACAACTTCCACGCCGGCACCCCCTCCGCAATACCCCGCCTAAAATTATCCTCATAATCACTCATCATGTGTGTTTTCAAATCTAAACATGCAGCCTTGAGTGAGGAGAGGAGAGTGGGAGAGAGCTCTTGAGGCTCGAACAATTGGAGGTTGTTAGGGTGGGGTTGGGGATTGCAGGGCTCCGTGTCGTTGAGAAGGAGCCGCTTGTAGTGGTTGTGGGTTATGATTATGTTTTGTGATGGGTTGCGGAGTGACATTTTGGGTTGGGGTTTTGCTGTGGGGTTTGGGTGTGTGTGGGTGATGGTTAGGTGGGGATTGGGGATTGGGGGGAAGGTTGGGGTGGAATGGGTTGGAGTGGGAAGTAGGGGGCTTTATATAGAGATTTTGGAGGGGGAATTGTTTGGGTTCTTTGTGTGGGGAGGGAAGAACAATGCTTTGTTCTGATATAGGGCTGGGAATAATACTATACTGAAGTATTTGAGAAAGAGAAGGGGAATAATGCTCTGTTTTTGTTGATGGCTAGCCACAATGCTTTGTTCTAATTTAGGGCTGGGAATAATGCTGTACTCGAGTATTTCAGAAAGAAAAGGGAAACAATGTATTGTTTTGTTGATGGCTAGGCTACAACAGACTTATGTGCTTTGTCTAGATGTGTAGTAGATTTAGTGTGCCGGTATGTAAATATAGAATAGTAGAATCAAGATATATCTGCGATACTATAGCACTGTATGGATTTCTATACAAGTCACAGGGGGCTTTTAGGAATTGTAGTGAGAAATTTGGGTTAGAGTCTGACTTATGAACATAAGTCGATGATACTTTGATCTCCGTCGTTGTAGGAAGTTTTTGAGGGAGGGCGTTATATAATAAGATACGATGAAATTAATGTACAGGATTGAGGAATGAAAATTTATGCGTAAAATTCTTGGTATAATACCATTAGGTAATTGGCTGTAACCCCTATCTTGGTACGAAGAAAGGGACAAGGAGAATCAATGGCTCCGATGTACCACCCCATCCATACCCTAAGCTTTTCCATCCACTCTAAAATCTAAACAGAGTAGCCAAATCCCCGTTAGCCTCAATAACACTATCCAATTCCTCCTCAAAGATCCCTTTCACATCCTCATCTTCTGTACCCTTCACCGCCACTACAAAAACACGTGCCGTTTGCCTTAATCCCTTCATTATTTCTCCCTGCGTATTTTTGATTGCCTCATCCTCAGATGCATCTGCTAACTCCGTACCCACATTCCCGTGTAAGAGCGCTAAAGCCTGCAGAATTATCAAGCGATGCACGTCGAAACTGATGCGAGGCCAGAGTACGAGAATGATTTCTCTTAATGTATTCAGTGTTTCGATGATGAGAGATGGAGATGCACGGGGTAAGAATGGATTCATGAGGATATTGGTGATGATGGGTAAAATATCTTTTAAATGTTTTACGCCCCAGATACCCATTTTGGAGATGCAGATGCCGAGTTGTGAGATGAGGATTTGGACTACTGAGGGGATTTCTTGGCAGTGAAGATGTGCGGGGAGGATGGCGTGGCGGATGATCCTATCTAGGAAGGCGAGACGGAGATGGGTTGGTGATTTGGAGGTGGGGTTGGTGGGCTTGGAGGGTTTGTTGATTGAGAGTGTGAGTTCGCGGGTGCCGGTTTCTTCGTCTTTTGTCGAGGGCCATCTTGTGTCGTAGAGAGCGTATAGAGCGTGGTATCCGACGAGTAGTAAGCTCAGTGTGTCTTCGACGGGCGTGATGGAAGGTAAGAATAGAAGAACTGGATGAATGGCATCTTCGAAGACATCACCCAGTCCTGTTTGTAGGAGGAGTTTATCGCCCATCTTGGAGAAGAGTGTGGGAAGCAATTGGAGAGTGCGAATACGGATTGAGTTTGAGGGAGAATCGAGAAGAGTGAGGAGAGGTGGAATTAAAAGGGGAAATGCTTGAGTCCGGAGGAGGTCGGACTGGTGGTATGTGTTAGTGTAGGGGGGATTAGATGGGGAGGGAACACGTACAGGAATATATTCGATGATCCATTGGAGAATCGGGATAGTGTATGGAATATTCGATCTCCAAGGTTGCCTTGAAGGAGAAAGTTCACGGATATCGAAATGACGAGGTGGTGCAGATGATGGTGCTGCTTTTCTCGAAGACGCAGTGACGGATTTGGGAGCCGGAGTTTTGGAAAATATGGGACGGATGAAGGATTGTAGAAGATGTGTGACTAGGAACTCGGGAGACTTGATGTACAGGTCATGTTTCTCGAGTATCGCAGCAGCGATTCGTTGAGACTGGGAAGTCGTCCATGGATTCTTCGTAGTAGTGTATGGGATGAGGGAAAGAAGAGTGGAGTTTTTGGGTGGTGATGATGAAGGATTTGGAGAGAGTTCAAGGAGTCGAGATATTGAAACCATACAGAGGGTGTATTTAAAGCGGTATTGCTTGATTTTGAAGGCTTTGTCTGATTGTTCCTCGTCTCAAAAACATGAGCTCATGCTCCGAGTATGTAAAATGACAAAAGAGAGCTTACCGTCAGTCTCATCCAATGAATACACCTTACCATCAGGCAATATTGTCTCTGACAAATAATCCTTAAGTTTCTCGCACCATTTACCATCATCCGCTGCTAACACCGCATCTGATTTGTGTTCTAGGCAGCTGGCAAGTATGATGATATTTTCTATCTCTTCCTAAGCACCCCAGTAAGTATATGGACGAAGCCGAGTCCCCGCTAGATGTATACTTACATCTTTCCCTTTCACAATTTCCTTCACAAGCTCTCGATACAGATCTTCGAAGCTATATGATTCTGGTAGAACTAGTGTCACATGTTAGAAAAATATCTGCTTAAAAAGGGACATGGGGACTTACAGTGATTTGGTAATGTGGTGACATCGTCTTCATCAGCATTTAAACCAGTTATCAAGTCCTTAGCAGCTTTATGGGTAGACTTAAACATGATTGGGGGATGTGATGGAATGTTGTTTGTGGCAGAATTGGTTGGTACTTGGGATGACTTTACTAGGTGTGGTGAAGTGGCTTACTAATCAGGTATTCCCGAGCCATATTTTCCGGGCTAGATGCGCTGTATTACAGGGCTATTAGATTCGCATCCCCTTTCACAATATCGAGATACAACTATTAACAGTCTCTTCTCCTTAATAAGGCTTTGAAACAATCGTCTTTTGATTCCAATAACTAAGATACAGTTAACAGACTCCTCAATATGCTTCATTCTCCCAAGTCTATGAGTAATGCTGGTCGACGAAGTCACGACCTAGGATGACAAACAATTTATGTAACCCTATCATTTCTTTTCTCCTTATACTACGTCTAGGTATCTGTTTCATGATATAAGATGAGGGGTTCACCAAAACACCTATATATGCCCAAGTGTTCAACAAAGCTTTCTGAAATTCACAAAAGGAGTTTTCTTTCTTCTCAGTACAAACGGCCTCATGCTTATGCTATATACAAACCGGGTAGCCTTTCAATGACATAGCTTTCGAGTATCAAAGTACTCTCTACACTGTACAGTCTATACTACATACATGGGATATCTCCATCTTTCATCCAGTGTATACGGACCCATCTGTCTAATCAAGATCATCTACTCATGAAAATCCATAGTTGCGCGCCCACCTGTTTGGTTTAATCTTTCACAGGATCGAGACGAGGCTCATGGAAGCCTACATAACCGCGGATTTGACGCAGAAGTACATACGATCCATCAAGTAATCAAGTAGTGTGGTATTAATAAATCCCTAATAGCCAACTTGTTTCCTTGAACCTGGATAGTCTGGGATTATCCCGCATACGGATTATCCGTCATGTCAATTTCCATCTGGGTTCTCCCTCATGGCCTTTCATGATTTGTGTTCCATCAAAGATTCATTACCTCCGTCCAGATCTATGCATATAATATCTCCAAGCTCTCTGATCCCTCAGTAAATTATCCATTTAAAGCGCTACAACGGCTGTGTTATCTATCATCTTTGATACGTTAGAATATCGTAGCTAATCTTGAGGTCATGAGATTAGATTCCCTATATAACGATGACTTTGTACCTTCCAGAACCCATAGTCACGTCGCAGACAAAAGCATCAACAAATACACCTTCAAACTCAATAATGTAATCACCTTGTCTCATCGCTCTAACTCACATCATGCAATACCATCTCGAGCCCTCCTCTCCTTTCTTTCCAAAAAATTGCGAAATGTGTTATAATACACTGACTGTCTGTGCTATTTTCTAATACCGGTATCCCGAGAGAAACGTTACAGAGGTAAATGTATATGTACCGGTCGGTATATATTATGATTTTGATGTATGTAGACAGACTTCTTCGTTACGTCTAGATATTCTACTGCAATCTTATGGAAGATATCATATACCGGTATCTAAAAGAAAAGGTACATGTATTTTGTATTGTAATGTTACATAACACAGCCAATTATATTAGAAGCAAAGCCTCCTTTAATTATTATATTAGATCGATCCAATTCCTCAGAAAGCAAAATATATACCGGTCGATAGATACATAGTCCGCTCAGTCCTCTCAGTCCTCTCACCAGCCGGGAGTGGAATATCTGCTTTATACTTTATATATATACCGTATATAGTATTGAAAGGACTTCCCTCTCAATAATCAAATCACCTCGTCACGCTTTAGGATTAGGGCTTATAATTTTGTAAAACAGTGCAGTGAGTGAGCTTTTCTCGCACTGACTGTATACTGACTGTGTTATTATTGTCTCATCTTGGTCTTGTTACTAGGTATGGTTGTGGATGAATGACTAAGAAATTAGGTAACTTTTTCACATTAGAAAGTATTTTGAGTAACAAAATTAGCAGGCAGAAGAATAGATTCAACAGTTTTAATCTTCGATGAAGTAATTCATTGAATTCATCTCGTAGCATATTCATACAAATGATCCCGATTTCCATCCCTAAGACTATCTTCAGCCATGTCTAAAACTCCCAACTCCTGCTCCTGCTCCACAATGCTTTCCTTCCCAATAAAGTAATCAGGGACGTCTCGAAATAAAATGGTATATGCAGGAAGTTCGTTCGTCCTCATCGACGACAAATGGTAACATCACCCTTCGGTTCTCCCATTACTCTTGTTCAAAATCATTGCTAGTAACAACCTTATCTTTCTCTTCCGCTTCCATCAATGTTCCATGCAAAGGAGCCGATTCTAGACTTGCGATTGGAGGCGCTGCTACTCCACCCATAAGACTCCTTCGATGTGGGCGGGAATTGAAGGCTTCGCTTTCTTCTCCCATCGTCGTCTCTATTGAATCGTCTGGCATGATTGTTGCTTGTGACTCGGTGATGGGGTATAAAGTATTTTCAATATCAGCCTCAAGATTTTCGACGAATTCATTCGCTTCCGAGAAATGTAACAAGCTATCTTTATGCGTCAAGGTGGCATATTTCGCACGAGCATCGTCCAGACTCTTTTTTGATTGATGAGGCTTCTCAAGGCCCAGCCATCCTTCAGCAGCCAAAATATTCCACATGGCAGATTTTCTTGTTCTGCTACCCCAAAGACCAACTCCGTGCCCCTTCTTTGTACCATAACAAACAGCAACACGCTCCTTGAATAACGCATCCCCGATTGAACCCACGATCTTGTAGTCAAGAAGTCTCGCACCCCATCTCGCTGCGTCACCTGTGGCTGAACCACCTCTCAATCGAAGAAGCTCCATCCCCAAGGTTAAACAGCGTAGGGCTCCATATGGAGCACTGCATCGTGTCATATAGGAGTACGATGAAGTCTCAAGCATCAAATCGATTGTTTCGGTACGGGTTTTTGCGCTGATAGAATGAGGCATCATGAGAGTACTAATAGCAGCCATTTCATTCGCTGCTGCATGATATTTCCATGCTTTATCATTGGTGAAATCTGACCGTAATAAATCATAGATCTGCTGGGCGAGTTTCCAATCTCGAAGCATGAACGAATAGTCTGCTAGCTTTCGCATCAATGCTTCAGGTGAGTCAGGTCGATAAAAACCTTGTAAGGCATCATAGTTGCTGCCGGATCCTGTTGCGTTTGCAGAAGTACTTCGTGAACTGGAACCAAACGCTGACCACTTTAAAGTCTTCGAAAGACTCATGAATCTTCCACTTATACCCCTTCGACGTGAAGCAACCTGATCGTTCCAAGTCGCCACACACCTTTCCATCGATGGGACAACAGATTGGGTGACCATCTCTCGAATAAATGTTTTGATGGCAGTGGTATCAGATTCATATATACACGGAAATATGTCCTCGGGATCCTCTTGGGACTCTCGCGCCTGTATCTCAGCCATTTCTTCCGATGCAGCTACCCATTCGCATCGTGGCAGTTGTACACTATCATCATCTGTTGCCACACATTGACTGCTCCGGAGCCTCAGAAGATGGCAATGGAGCCCAAAATGACGCTTCATTTGTTCAAATAATGTAATAGATCTGGTGATATCATCTCGTTCTTCGTCATGTACCAGAACATAATAGCGGAGATAGTCATCATTGACCCATAGTGGCAATCGCTTTTCTCCACGACTTGATTCTTCATATAACCTCCTCAAAGCTTCAATTGGATTTTTATTTCGTGAACTTATGGCAATGATACATGCCACTGGATGAGAGAATGTTTCGTGCGGGGCTAAGGGAATTCCTGAGAGCAATCTTCGTAGATAAAGTGTATAAAATGGAGAAGGTGCCCCGGACGTTTTAGAGCTATCCTTCAAGTTCAAGAAATCCTCTGCACTGACACTAGGAAATTCCTCAGCATTTGTTAAATGACGATCGACAAGGCGTTCAATCTGAGGAATATCTCCCCCAGTTCTCAGTCGCTGGGCAGCTATTGACTCCGGTATGGATTTATTGCCATTTGGTGACAGTATTCTTCCCTCTCCGCTTCTTCGCGACCCTGGTATTCCTTCCGGTATCTCGAGTCCATCGCCTAATTGTACAAATCGTACGCCGAAATCGTCGTACGTTCTACCAGCTCCTATGCTATCTCGTACATTGACCTTTCCTTGTATATTCTCCCCGAACGGCCTTATCAACTCCCATAGCCCTCCCTTGAACCCTTTGTCTTGCGCAAGCTCATGTGTGTCGGCAGATGTATGTACTGCAATATGAGGGACGAAACCGGATAATATTAAGTTTCGTGGATCATCTTTCCTATCTGATGGTAAAAGATGGCTTTCGGACGGCGTGCTTCCGCCAAATACAGATCCTACGATTCGCGAAGGTGTCGATGTTCCGCCGGTCGGGGAGACTGGTCTTGAACTGGAAGGCGTTGTCGTTGACGCAAATAGTGACTGTACGGAAGCATTTGAAGCTCTGTATGGCAGTGAAGCCACAGACGAAGTCATTGATTGTGCATCCGCAGAGATTCTTGTCTTGGGTCTCCTCAGCGGAGTGGGACTTGTCACCGGTTCGGGGGGACTGAAGGGAGATGCATGATTGGAAGGTGTCATGAATACCGAGAGGTCCGCAGCCGGATGAAAATGATGTTCGCTCGTAACTCGACCGCCCTAAATAATCGCACACCCATGCGCCTAATCGCCCGGAAGAAGGGGACTACAACGGTAAAGCAGGGCGATTGTTCATCCAGAGGTGGCCTTATGTAATACTCGAAGGTCAATCCGTTTAAGGTGGTCTATCTTGGAATTTTGAATAATCGACATGAGCATAAAACATACAAGAGAACGGTAAAAGCAATTCGTCGTATATTCTCAAGGGATTCTTTTGTTTTTGGATTCTGTATACGACGTAGGTATTCGACAAAGTTACATTCGCGATGATTGGGTCTCGCGCTAAAAATAATCCGGCACCACCAAATCCGCAACGACACGTGACTTGAACATATATCAAAGCATAACTCGAGTAGTTCGTCGTTCTTGCTTTCCTCTACTCATAATTAATGGATAGTAAAAAGTTGGCGCATTTCATCAGAAGTTATTGATTTGGCTCATGACATGATTCCATATTTAGCATCTTTGATACAGAGCTGTGGAGTCATAAGGGCTAGGTCTATTATAAGAGTCACTACCGGCAAACAACAAACATTCCAATTCTCATCCATGAAACGGAAACACGAAGAAGATCAAATTTCTTTCGCAAAAAGGTTACGGGGATCAGTTATGGCTAGCACTACTATCGCGTTGACTCCTCGAGAGGGTCAACTTCGAAATCTTTTACTTGATGTAGCGAACTACATCAATGAATCCAAAGAAATTGAGAAGAAAATTGAGCTGCGATGGGCTGGAGGATGGGTTCGGGACAAGTTACTCGGGATTCAAAGTCATGATATTGACACAGCAATCAATGTTATGACTGGGTATAACTTCAGCTTGAAGATGAAAGAATACCTGGAAGACTCTACAAACCTCAGGAAGCATGATCTGCAAGCTAAAGATGTGAAGAAGCTCTATAAGATTGCTGCAAATCCGGAGAAATCTAAACATCTGGAAACCGCTACTACGAATATCTTCCAATTCGATGTGGACTTTGTCAATCTGCGCAAAGAAACTTACACTGAAGATAGTCGCAACCCTCAAATGGAATTTGGCTCTGCAGAGGAGGATGCTTTGAGGCGAGATGCTACCATCAATGCTTTGTTCTATAACCTTCATACAGATATCGTTGAAGATTTCACCGGAGGACTTGCGGATTTGGAGGCTAAGCTTATCAAAACACCACTCGAGCCCTACACTACTTTCATGGATGATCCATTACGAATTTTGAGGTTGATCAGATTTGCTAGCAGACTAAATTTTAGGATTGATGCTGAATCAGAGAAATGTATGAGTAACCCAGCCGTCATGGAAGCTCTAAAAGTCAAGATCAGTCGAGAGCGAGTTGGCGTTGAGGTGGAAAAGATGTTGAAGGGTAATTATATCAATCAATTGATGCTTCAATATTTAGAGCCCCCTTTCTGACCTGATACAGGAAACAACCCATGGCAATCTTTACATCTCATTGATCGCCTTGGTCTTTACTCCACAATTTTCACAGATCCTATAGCAGGCGATGTTCCAGTACCGGATACATCGAACTGGAGAATCGTTTACGATTGTTTAGAGCAGATGAAGTCAAACGAAACACCGGACTCAATTTACAAATCGCTAGTGCGATCAGATGATGCCAAATATATTGCCTGGGTTCTCGCCGCTTTGACACCATGGTCGGCAATTCCACCAGCACAAGCAACAAAACCCGGAGGAAAGGCACCCCCACCATATGGAGCTTTGGTTGCCCGTGAAGGATTGAAAGGAGATAGCAAATTATGCAACATGGTTGCCGGTGCATTCAAACAACATGCCGAGATCACGGAGCTCAAGGATGCAATCAAGAGAAATGATTCATATATTCACCAACGAGATACGATTGGAATGATGATTCGGAAATGGGATTCACAAGGTGGACATTGGAAATTACAAGTCCTGTTTGCATTGCTTGTGGAGGCTTCTAAGCTAGAAGGTGCAGAAGGTACGATTCATTGTCGTAAGCGTGAGAACTTCTACTAATTGTTTTTAGGATACCAATCGTTATTCTCCGAATGGCAGCAATTTATCGACCATCTTCAGGACCTCGATGTAATGGATGCTCCTGCGATCCGGCCAATAGTAGATGGAAAAATCCTTTCAAAGGCATTGGGAGCCAAACCCGGTATATGGATGGGACCGGCTTTGAATGTATGTATGGAGTGGCAGTTAAGAAATTCAGTCTCAACAGATGCGGAGGCGGCGATTGAGGAAGTCAGGAAAAGACGACAGGAGTTAAATATACCCCAGAAGTAGGTAGCGAAAGTTCACTTGCGAAGTATCACATATTACAATAGGCACGATGCCGTTAGCATGTACCGCTGGCTTTTGTGCCCGAAGACACTTGGCTACCACCAGGATCTCGTCTACCAAAGTAGATATTCAGATCTCTCCAGTCTGTCATGTTGTCGACGAGAAGTACCCTAAATCAGACTAGCCACACCGTTACTAGTCTACCATTAGATCAAGATATCGCGTTCAAGATCTTGCAATTGAAAGTTCAAACCCTTCACTCCTATTCCCTTTGATAACATGACGATGATCATTCACTCTGCATGCGTTTCGCAATTTGTTTTGACGTAAATCTTCACCGTTTGTATTATTTTTGATAAATCAATCACAATCATTACTCTAGATCGCTGTCATATCCACTATATTACAATGTACATTTTCATCGCCCAGCTCGTAATCAGTGATACCGACATCCCACTCCCCTCATACTCCATACTCCAGTCCTCACACATCAATTTAAGCATCTCGACTTCCTTGTGATCGGGCAACTGAAGCAGATAGTCAGTCGGCTTTGATATTCACCCATACCTTGTCTTATACTCGAGTACTAGCAGAGGCATTGACTCCAATCCATCATCTATCCAAAAAGAAATCGACCTCGAGTGTGCCATTATGAGACAAAGCTCCCGAGTTTGTTCGAGAACATATTTGTAATGCTCGTTATCAGGCTCCTCTAATTTCTTTTGTCAATTTGCAATCAACTTGATATCAACCGCAGACTCTACCACTACATTGAGGTTCCTTGCTGGCTATTCGATGAGAAAGGGGGCTGACTACTTACGATCATGACTACTAATATCGATATTTGATCACCGTACTCATAGCATACTCATACGTACAACCTTTACTATTCTTTGCATTTCACTCGGTGTTCAATCAATAAGTATAGCATAGCATGGTGCAATGAGATTTATTGAAAACCCTCTTGGCATCAACGTCTTCGGGGTCGAATGAAGAGCCTTCCTTTGATGATTCTAAGAACGGAGGTTACTGTAACTCATGAAGTGAGGAGGTCAGACGAACATCAATGAGAGAATTGATTCAGGAAGGCCATTAACTCATACATATCGAAAATCTCTCTCTCTTGATGATATCAATATCAAGTCATGTAACTTAAATTTCAACTGTCCTATGAGTCTCAGTCCATCGTTCTGTAAAATTGACTCCCCTAATACATGATCATGAAACCCTTGACGTCCTTCATCGAACCAGTCGTCCAGATTCCAAAACATTATCATGAACATCCATCCGAGTCTTCCTCCTTTCTTTCGTCTGCATTTACGACTTCTACTCCATGGTCTCCTCAATATGCTCGTCAATTTTTAGAAACGGCCCCTGCTGGCACCGTGACGTTTGAATGGCCCCTTCGTCCCGCATGGTCTGTATCTAACATTGCATTCCTTCCATCATTCTCCTGCTTCCACTAACTCATGGTGTTTAAACAATTCTTAAGTAGTGGTCTTTTTGGCCTTTTTACTTCTATATAAAAAGTAGGCTAGACCAAAAAAGAATTTATGGCGGCGCAGCCGAAAAAAAGAAAAGGCTAGTTAGATTGAATAGTCACTCTTGACATCAAACACTGTCCCCATTCTCCATTTCCCAATAACCCGCAACAACAGCATGAAAGTGTCTCTGCATCTTCGTCATATCTTCCCACTCATGAGCCCAGCCTTTTATTTCAACGAGTTCTTCAATACATGGCGGCTTTGGTGCCTTTGTTTGAACAGCGAATCGCATCGCATGGGTTGTTGTGTCGACTGCGTTACTGGTCAAAATCCAGTTCCGCAATGGAGATCGCTTCCACTGCCAGCGACTGACATTTGTCCTGACTTCTCTTCTTCCAACGATTAGAGATTACATCCGCATACGCAGCACGCTCTGCGGCAAGTATCCGCGGTCTTGTACAAGCTGTTTATGTGCGAGGCAGCAATCTCTTCGGCTTTGTCGCTGAATGTTGAACCTTGATATCACCAGCAGGGCATTGAGAACCGTATTCAAGATGATAAAGATCGCCACTTGCTATTATTTGAGGTAGTTTAGTGGTTAATTTTATCACGTGCGGCATTGTCTCCGCAGGGCTGGAACTATCAGCTATGGCTGAAGAGGTGGTCGGATGTTTTTTTTTGTTTTGAACAAGCTGGTAGTCTCTGTTGGTTGAATGGCTTGTTGTACTCATCGATCGGGTCCTGGATTTATTAGCGGAAGTACAAGATACACAATAGAGTATTCTTACCCAAGGACCAAACTTGATGAAGTTTTTCAGTCTTGCGAGTAATGAAATGCTGTGAGTCCTGGAGGCCGGTCTTGATATTGGCTTGTTCCAACGTTGAGAGAGCTTAAGTTAAGGTTCAAAATGAATTGCTCAAAGAGTAGTGAATTTGATCTCGCCGTTATAGATCGGTCTCTCCGCAATGGTTTCTACAGCACGGATGAAATGTTATGCAGGAAGACTGGTCGATCTTGATGCTTGGGAGCGGTTTGGCCAATGTTGACGTGTTCGAACTATTATTCTGTTGCTTGTTTATAGCCTGTAGGTCAATTGTTAAAGTACGGGATACCTGTATCAAATCTGATGTAAATATTGGCGAAGTTGAATTATTATAGGCAGTGTTTGCGTTAGTATACGGTAATAAACCGGTGGTATATATTGAAGAAAAAATATAGCATATTGTATGTGTTAACG